TGAGCTTTCACTGCCAAGAGCCCAGGTTCAGTCCCTGGTTGGTGAACTATTTTAAGATCCCGCAAACCACATAGTACAGAAAAAGAAAAAAAAATCATTACTGACATCCAGCACATGAAATTGTGAGTTCTGATCCTCAGGATAATTTATAAATCAGATGACCTTTTATTAGTACATGTAAAACTAGCACAGTTTGAGACGGAGGATAAAATCTACCCTACACAATTCATTTAGATGTTCAACGTAAAGTAATTGAGAGAAAATCTTTAATATGAAAGACTACAGAAGAATTTGAATCTATACAGCTCTTTTTTTTCTTAAGATAAATATTCCTTGTTTAAAAAATACTTTTATGGATATATCATACCTTAAATTTATCAATAGTTTCTTAATGTCATTAACTGTTCATTCACTGTTCGTATTGTCCCATTTATCTTATAATTTTTTTAAACAGTTGTTTGAATCAGGATTCAAATAAGATTATACATTGTGATTGGTTAACATGTCTCTTAAGTCTCTTTTAATCTATGGGTTTGCCCTCCATTCCTTTTTTTATTGAGATATAATTCACATACCATAAAATTCAGCCTTTTTAAGTGTATAATTAATTGATTTTTAGTATACTCACATAGGTTTTGCAGCCATCATCCCTAAGCTTAGAATATTTTCATAATCCCCCCCCAAAAAACCCCATACTAATTATCAGTCACTTTCCATTTCCCCTTTCCCAGCCCCTGGTAACCATTCATCTACTTTCTTTCTCTGAATTTGTTTATTCTGAATGTTTCATGTAAATGGAATCATGTGAGATGTTGCCTTTTGTATCTGGTTTCTTTCATTTAGTGTAATATTTTCAAAGTTCATCCATACTATAGCATATTCTTCATTCCTTTTTATAGCTGAATAATAGTCCATTGTTTAGATGTACCACATTCTGTTTATCCATTCATAGGTTGGTGGATATTTGGGTTTTCACTGTTTATTTACTTATTTAAATACACAGGTTTTTAGTTTTTTTGGCCCTGCCTTGTGGCTTCCAGGATCTTTGTTCCCTGACCAGGGATCGAACATGGGTCATGGAAGTGAAAGTGCCAAATCCTAACCACTGGACTGCTGGGGAATTCCTGGTTTTCACTTTTTATTATGTATTAGGTATTTTGAAAAAGCTGCTATGAACATGTGTACAAATTTTTATGTGACATAGCTCTTTTATGAGGGCTCATTTGGGACAGAAATCTTACTTTATTTGGATATATGTGTCATATAAATCAAATATGACACAAAGACATACCTGCTTATCACTCATAAACTAAAGCAGCAACTACCTTTTCTTTTTTCTTTTTCTGCCAGAAATATGCAGATGGTTGAAACATGAACCTCATATGATAAAAACTAATGTAAAAGCAAATTTTTGAGTATATTTGGTTTTATTCTTCTAAATAAGTCTAAGTCTCTTGCCTGGTGATAATTTTAGGTCAGTTTCTTCTCCTTCAAGATTAAGGTATTTCTATGTGTATACCAGGGCCTCCCTGGTTGCTCAGCTGGTAAAGAATCCGCCTGCAATGCAGGAGACCCCGGTTCAGTTCTTGGGTCAGGAGGATCCCGTAGAGAAGGCTATCCACTTCAGTATTCTTGGGCTCCCCTGGGGGCTCAGATGATAAAGAATCTGCCTGCAACGCAAGAGAACTGGGTTCTGTCCCTGGATCAGGAAGATCCCCTGAGGAGGACATGGCAACCCACTCCAGTATTCTTGCCTGCAGAATCCCTGTAGACAGAGGATCCCGGTGGGCTACAGTCCATGGGGTTACAAGGAGTCGGACAGGACTGAACGACTAAGCACATGTGTGTACCAAGAATTATAGGAGTCCTTGCCTTTTTTTGAAGAAATCTTTATTTCACACTATTAAAGACATGAATGGGGACAGTGTGGGGAATATAGTCTATAATTATGTAATATTTTTGTATGGTAACAGATGGTGACTAGGTTATCATGGTGAACATTTTAAAATGTATAGAAATATGGAAGAACTATGTTGTATATGAGAAATCAACATAGTGTTTTAGGTCAGTTATACTTTAAAAATAGCCAATACAATATTGTAAAGCAATTATCCTCCAATTAAAAATAAATAAACTTAATCTCATTGTTAAAAAAATAAACTCATAGAAAAGAGATCAGATTTGTGGTCACCAGTGGCAGGGACTGGTTGGCCGGGGTTGGGGGGGTGGTAGGGAGGGAGATTGGATGAAGGTAGTCAAAAACAGTGCAAACTTCCAGTTATAAGCTAGGTAAGTACTGGACATGCAGTGTACAATATGATCAATACAACTAACAGTGCTGCATCTTATATATATGAAAGTTGTTAAAAGAATCACATCACAAGGGAAAAAAGTTTTTTTTCTATTTGTTTTTGGCCATCCCTGGCAGCTTACAGGATCTTAGTTCCCTGAGTAGGGGTCGATTTGGATCCTTCACAGTGAAAGTGCAGAGTTCTAACCACTGGACCATGAGGGAATTCCCTTTTTTATATTTTTTTAATGTTGTACGTGTATGAGATGATGGATGTTCACCAAACTTGTGACGTATATAAGTCAAATCATTATGCTGTACACCTTAAACTTTCAGTGCTGTATGTCAGTTATATTTCAGTTAAACTGGAAGAAAAAAATAAAATTAAAGGCATGAAATCACCATATACACTTAAAATACCTTGTAACTTTATATGTTAATTCTACCTCAATAAAGCTGAATTAAAACAAGTTCTATAGCAACAACAGCAACAAAATAATAAAGACATGGAGTGGAAGATTTCTTTGAAAAGAATGGGTCATAACCTTGTTGCATTTTTATTCTTTTTGGGGTATCTTTTACTCCCCTCAGTATATCTTCTTGCCTCTTGCCTGGGTGGTAACAGCAACCTCCCAAGTAGTTGTGATGGTGAATTATACATTTCTTAAGTACAAAACTATTTATTTAAAAGATTATAAGTATTTTGGGGAAAGATGCTTGTTCTGGGACTTTTAAGCTAGCTTATTTACCACTTTTAAAGTAATCAACTAATTTTTATACTCTACTTTTCCATATGTATAAAATATCATCTTATATTTTTTAATATAAGATATAAAATATATTTTTATATTTTACAAATGTAAAAATATATTTTAGACATACAGGGGCTATTTTAGGGGCTTCCCTGGTATCTCAGCTGGTGAAGAATCCACCTGTAATGCAGAAAACCCTGGTTCGATTCCTGGGTGGGGCCGACCCCCTGGAGAAGGGACAGGCTGCGCACTCCAGTATTCTTGGGCTGCCCTGGTGGCTCAGCTGGTAAAGAATCTGCCTGCAACGCGGGAGACACTCCAGTATTCTTGCCTAGAGAATTCTCATGGACAGAGGAGCCTGACGGACTGCAGTTCCTGGGGTCGCAAAGAGTCAGGCGTGGCTGAGCGACTAAGCACACATATTTTTAAAAGCATATAATTTACAAAGCAAGATTCTTCCTGAAAGTATTTATTTATGAGGTAGAACTACTTAAAAAAAACAAAACACTTTTGAGTTCTATACTACATAACTTTATGCCAGCATAATTAAGGTAAGTTTCAACATAGAATTGATAGATTCAGGATCATAAAATTGTATTACTCTCTTAAATGTGTTTCTTTCTAAACTTGCAGTTTTTATTTGGGAAACAGAGCAATTGATAGGATTTATTCTTGAGATTTCATGTGAGAAAATTTGCACAGTGTTCATGGGAAGTAAATCAATCAGTAAAAATAAAGATCTGTTTGGTAGAGGAAAGTTATTTTTGCAAGATATAGGTCAAACAGTTTTCACTATAAATTGTTTTTACCTAGCTGCTTGGACATTAAGTGTGATGGTAATTATCTCCCAAATACCCTGATGACCTATTCTTGATGAATAAGGACATTATGTTCTCCTGTAATCACTGTAAAACATATTCATGTTTTGAAACTAAAAGAATATCTACTCAAATTGACTAACTTGTGTTTTTTCGAGCTGCTCACCTGTAGAGGAAAGATTTCTGTGAAACTGAGGAGCCTGACCAATAGAATGTTGGTATTTCAGAAGTTGTATCCTACTTTTGAGGCTTCCAATATGTGTAAATAGTCTTTCTGTTACTTGTCCTTATAAACTTCTGGGTTCCTGCAATGAAGAGACTATTAATACTGCACTTAATTTTCTTAATACTCTGCTAATGACGTTTGGTTGTATATTCTTTGGTGCTTTGTTTTGTTTAACGAAATGCCAGACTCTGAAAAAAAGGCTGTTGGTCTTGATCATTGCCCAGTGTCCAAACCTGTGTGAAACATTGAGCCACTTAGTTTTTCATTTTTACAGATTGTGTGTCTGGAGATAAGTTAGTGTGGGTTAATCAAAGAGCAGAAGATAAATTTAGACTCACTAGATTGGTTCCGTATTTTAGGTAAAAATGAAAGGAAAGTTTTGGGGCCTTGTATAACTATTCAGCCTGCCTGATCAGACCTCTGTAGAAATTTCTGTTTTTCCTTGAAAAAGTTTAAGCTATTTATGGGTCTGCCAAAGCAGAGAGCAACCCAGTTTTGAGTCACAAGTGAGTGAAGTTGCTCAGTCATGTCTGACTCTTTGCGACCCCATGGACTGTTGCCTACCAGGCTCCTCTGTCAGTGGAATTTTCCAGGCAAGAATACTGGAGTGGGTTGCCATTTCACAGAGGACCCGTTAATAATGTGTGTAGACTTAGAAAAAATTATTTCTTTACTGAGTTTTTCTCTAGGTGTGTTATTGAAAAATAGGAGTAATAGCTTCATTTTCCTATACTTCACCTTTATCTTATGAATGACATAGTATAATTAAAAGAGCAATGAAGTAGAGTCTGAAAGTCAGCATTCTAGTAGTAGTTATATCACTAAATAACTGAGAGTGGCATCCTACGGATCTGAGGATGTTGAGAACACACATGTAAAAAAATGATTAGTACTTACTTACATGTTCCTTGCAGGTGCTGTTGGCAGCAGCGGTCTGTACAAAAGCAGGAAAAGCTATTGTTTCTCGACAGTTTGTAGAGATGACTCGAACTCGGATTGAGGGCTTGTTAGCAGCTTTTCCAAAGCTCATGAACACTGGAAAACAACATACATTTGTGGAAACAGAGAGTGTCAGATATGTTTACCAGCCTATGGAGAAATTGTACATGGTACTGATCACTACCAAAAACAGCAACATCTTAGAAGATCTGGAGACCCTAAGGCTCTTCTCAAGAGTGGTAAGAGTCCTGTAATACTGGGTTAAGGTTTTTGGATTTTAAGTTTTTTGTGTGAAACTATTTTCCCCCAAAGTATCTGATGCTTATTATTTTGCGTGTTCTATGCACCAGTAGTCCCTGTCCCAGCATCTTATGTCACATCTCCTTTTACTGGATTCCTAAGACTGTAAATATTACAAAGGAGAGTATGAAAATTGCTCATTTGTTTCCCAGTTCTCTAACAGTAACTGTAACCTGCCCTTGTGGTTCTGACACTTGTTTGGCCATATTTTTAGATAATAATCTGATGAGATGTGTTGATGTAGCCACAAACATACAAAGGCTTATGCCAAAGACTTGCTTAAAGAGTAGTGAAAGGAACTAGTAAGGCAATTCAGGCATACTGAAATTTGTATTTTACAGGATAAGAATTGGAAAGCATAACTGCTGACACATTCTAAATATTTCTTTTCCATTGTTCCATGATTAGATTCCTGAATATTGCCGAGCCTTAGAAGAGAACGAAATATCTGAACACTGTTTTGATTTGATTTTTGCATTTGATGAAATTGTTGCCTTGGGATACCGGGAGAATGTTAACCTGGCACAGATCAGAACCTTCACAGAAATGGATTCCCATGAGGAGAAGGTGTTCAGAGCAGTCAGAGAGGTAAATAGGGTCTTCTTTGAGACTGCTGGTTTGTGTATTTCTTTTAGGCTTCTCTGTTTGACTTTCCTTTTTTTATTTGCTAGTCTGGTCTGAACTCAAAGCTGCATCCAAGTATGTCTCTTTTTGTAGACTCAAGAGCGTGAAGCCAAGGCTGAGATGCGGCGTAAAGCAAAAGAATTACAGCAGGCCCGAAGAGATGCAGAGAGACAGGGCAAAAAAGCACCAGGATTTGGGGGCTTTGGAAGCTCCACAGTGTCTGGAGGCAGCACGACTTCCATGATCACAGAGACCATCATTGAAACTGATAAACCAAAAGTGGCACCTGCACCAGCCAGGTATAATCTAGTGTAATCACCTAGAATACAGTCCTAGAATGGCAGATGAAGGCTGTATGTGTGTATCTCAGAGCAGTCTGATTTCTAGGCAAACTATAAATAATGAGTGCCTTGATAAAGTAAGTGTAATATTAAATTTGGCTGCATATAGATTATATGGGGATAAGGGAGAAATCTGATTGTGGTGTTTTTCCTTTTTTGTAAAAGAGAGTTCTTTTACAGATTTTACCATGAAGCTCAGTTTCCTATGAGAGTTGCCTTATATTGGAAGAGAAGTTATTTAACTGTTTAAGGGACACATACTTTTAATCTAGTGTTCATAAATGGATTTCAGGGAGAATCTAAACTACCTAAAATTATATGAAAAAGTTTGTTTGTACATATTTATCTGGATAGAAGGTACAAAGTTTTCCTCAGGTCACACATGCTTATCAAAGTATACCTTTGGTCTTTGGTTACTTGAAGCTTATGTGGTTCTTTTGTTTGTTTGTTTTTTGGTCATGCCCCTATAGCATGCAAGATCTTAGTTCCCCAACTAGGGAGTGAACCTGTGCCTTGCACTGGAAGCACAGAATCCTAACCACTGGACCACCAGAGAATCTCTGAAACTTACATGTTAATAGTAATCCAGTAATCTGCCAGTTTGAACAAGAAATAGTTTAGTGGTCCACTAAACACTAGGAAACTTTAGTTTTTCCCTTGAGGTATTCACATTTCTCTTAAAGAACAACTTTAGGGAAAGCTTTAGTGATAGGGAATTATTAGTTTTTAACTTTTTAAATAATATGTGTATTTTTTCTTATTTTTGCATTCTTCCACTTAGACCTTCAGGCCCTAGCAAGGCTCTGAAACTGGGAGCCAAAGGAAAGGAAGTAGATAACTTCGTTGACAAATTGAAATCTGAAGGTGAAAATATCATATCCTCCAATATGGTCAAGCGTACCTCTGAAGCATCCAAAGTGCATGCTCCACCCATTAATATGGAGAGGTGAGTGGTAACTTTTTCAGTAGAAACAGACCACATGGTGTTAAAAATTTTTTTATCTCAATACTTTATAAATTCTTTTTGTGTTTTTTAATTTTTCCAGATTTAAAAGACTTAAGAGTATATTCTAAACAGCAGGGGTTCTACTGTATATTATCACACAGGGAACTACATTCAATATCCTTTGATAAACCATAATGGAAAGGAATATGAAAGAATAAATACATATGTATAACTGAGTCACTTTGCTATACAGTAGACATTAAACACAGCATTGTAAATCAGCTACACTTTAGTAAAATTTTAGGTGTTAACATGAGCTATTCCCCTCTGCCCTCTTTGAACCATAATTGGGGACTCTTAGCCATCTGTTTTCTGTTTAGAACTTAACCTTTCTACCAACTCTGTGGTGGTTAAATTAAACAAAAAATAACTTTCCTTCATGCTTAGTTTATACTTTGTCTCTTAAAATGGACTTGAATTAGAATACTAGAACAATGATTAGCTCTGTACTATATTTTGGCATGTCTTTCTCTAATTAGGACAAAAATTATAAATATCTTTAGTAGCAAATTAATGTGTTATTTTTGCTTTTTTTTGGTGGTTGTTGTTATTTTTGCTTTTTAAGTATTTAAGGCCAGTATAGAATATTTTGATTTATCAAAATATCCTTATCTCAGGACTATGGTACTGGTTGGTAACTTTTTTTTTCTTTCCCAATTATTTTTATTAGTTGGAGGCTAATTACTTTACAATATTGTAGTGGTTTTTGCCATACATTGACATGAATCAGCCATGGATTTACATGTGTTCCCCGTCCTGAACCCCCCTCCCCCCTCCCTCCCCATCCCATCCCTCTGGGTCATCCCAGTGCACCAGCCCTGAGCACTTGTCTCATGCATCCAGCCTGGACTGGCGATCTGTTTCACACTTGATAATGGTTGGTAACATTTTTAAGTGGTAGTTACCAAGTTCACATTTTCATGACTCAGATTTCTTGTCTTGAAGCCCAGACTTTCTACTGTTACTGATGGTTTTGAGGTCAGGTGAAAGATGAGTCTCGGAGGATACCTCTGTCAGGTGTGCTTCAAAGAGGATGTTTTGTGTGTCTTATTTTATATGAAATGAAGAGGGTTTTGTTGGGATAAATCTTTTAAATCACTAAAGCTCCTGTGTTATTCCTAGTGGTTGCTCTGAGGGAGACAGGTTTGATACTATTTTAATAAGATGTTGCAGACTATCATGTACCAGACAGAGCTTGAAACTCTTTTCTGAATGTTGGAATACTTCTTGAGCAAATGCTTATGAAGGTAAATGACACCATGTGTTGTCTTTAAGATACATTTCTCTGTGGTCTTGAGTCTCATGCTTTTGTTTCTGGGAAGACTTAGAGGTTGGAACAGAATAAAGTAGGACGCCAGCATAGTGTTCTAAACCACTGCAGTTCACCCAGCTAAAAACTGTTTTAGTGAGGAATATGGATAGATTGTACTTAAAAATGGCCCATAGCAGCAGTACCTTTTATTTTACTTATTTTAAAAACTAGATTATACATTCATGTAGTTGTTCAAAATTCAAAAGGTTCAAAGGATGTTACACTAAAACTTCTTCCCACCCAGCCATTCAGGGTTCTGTCTTCAGATGCAACTAGCATTAACTGCTTTTTGTGTGTATCTTCCAAGAGAGATAGTGTATATATAGATGAATAAAAATATGCTATAATTCTGTTTTTCTCTTGTTATACTTAAGTGGTGGTGTACTTGACACATTTCCACTTGCTTTTTTCACTGCAGTTCAGTCGCTCAGTTGTGTCCAATTCTTTGTGACCCCATGGACAGCAGCACACCAGGGCTCCCTGTCTATCACCAACTCCCGGAGTTTACTCACACTCACGTCCATTGAGTCGGTGATGCCATCCAACCATCTCATCCTCTGTCGTCGACTTCTCCCTTCAATCTTTCCCAGCATCAGGGTCTTTTAAAATGAGTCACTTCTTTGCATCATGCGGCCAAAGTATTGGAGTTTCAGCTTCAGCATCAGTCCTTCCAATGAATATTCAGGACTGATTTCCTTTAGGATTGACTGGTTGGATCTCCTCACAGTCCAAGGGACTCTCAAGAGTCTTTTCCAACACCATAGTTCAAAAGCACCAATTCTTCGGCACTCAGCTTTCTTTATAGTCCAACTCTCACTTCCATACATGACTACTGGAAGAACCATAGCCTTGACCACCAGATGGACCTTTGCTAACAAAGTAATGTCTCTGCTTTTTAATATGCTGCCTAGCTTGGTCATAACTTTTCTTCCAAAGAGTAAGTGTCTTTTAATTTCATGGCTGCAATCACCACCTGCAGTGATTTTGGAGCCCCCCAAAATAAAGTCTGCCACTGTTTCCACTGTTTCTCCATCTATTTGCCATGAAGTGATGGGACTGGATGCCATGATCTTAGTTTTCTGCATGTTGAGCTTTAAGCCAACTTTTTCACTCTCCTCTTTCACTTTCATCAAGAAGCTCTTTAGTTCTTTGCTTTCTGCCATAAGGGTGGTTTCATCTGCATATCTGAGGTTATTGATATTTCTCCCAGCAATCTTGATTTCACCTTGTGCATCATCCAACCCAGCATCTCTCATGATGTACTCTGCATAGAAGTTAAATAAGCAGGGTGACAATATACAGCCTTGATGTACTCCTTTCCTTATTTGTAACCGGTCTGTTGTTTGATGTCTGGTTCTAACTGTTGCTTCTTGACCTACATACAGATTTCTCAGGAGGCAGGTAAAGTGCTCTGGTATTCCCATCTTTTGAAGAATTTTCCAGTTTGTTGTGATCTACACAGTCAAAGGCTTTGGCATAATCAATAAAGCACAAGTAGATTTTTTTCTGGTATTCTCTTGCCTTTTCTATGATCCAACTGATGTTGGCAGTTTGATCTCTGGTTCCTCTGCCTTTTCTAAATCTAGCTTGAACATCTGGAAGTTCATGGTTCACATACTGTTGAATCCTGGCTTGGAGAACTTTGAACATTATTTTACTAAGAGGTGAGATGAGTGCAGTTGTGCAGTGGTTTGAACATTCTTTGGCATTGCCTTTCTTTGGGACTGGAATGAAAACTGACCTTTTCCAGTCCCACGGCCACTGCTGAGTTTTCCAAATTTGCTGGCATATTGAGTGCAGCACTTTCACAGCATCATCTCATCTTTTAGGATTTTAAATAGCTCAGCTGGAATTCCATCACCTCCACTAGCTTTGTTTGTAGTGATGCTTCCTAAGGCTCACTTGACTTCACCTTCCAGGATGTCTGGTTATAGGTGAGTGATCATACCATCGTGGTTATCTGGATCATGAAGATATTTTTTGTATAGTTCTTTTGTGTATTCTTGCCATCTCTTCTTAATATCTTCTGCTTCTGTTAGATCCATACCATTTCTGTCCTTTATTGTGTCCATCTTTGCATGAAATGTTCCCTTGGTACCTCTAATTTTCTTGAGGAGATCTTTATTCTTTCCCTTTCTATTGCTTTCCTCTATTCCTTTGCACTGATCACGGAGGAAGGTTTCCTGTCTCTCCTGGCTATTCTTTGGAACTCTACATTCAAATGGGTATAGCTTTCCTTTTCTCCTTTGCCTTTAGCTCCTCTTCTTTTCACAGCTATTTGTAAGGCCTCCTCAGACAACCATTTTGCCTTTTTGAATTTCTTTTTCTTGGGGATGGTCTTGATCCCTGCCTCCTGTACAATGTCACGAACCTCCATCCATAGTTCTTCAGGCTCTCTGTCTATCAGATCTAATGCCTTGAATCTATTTGTCACTTCCACTGTATAATTGTAAGGGATTTGGTTTAGGTCATACCTGAATGGTCTAGTGGTTTGCCCTACTTTCTTCAATTTAAGTCCGAATTTGGCAATAAGGAGTTCATGATCAGAGCCACAGTCAGCGGCCAGTCTTGCTTTTGCTGATTGTATAAAGCTTCTCCATCTTTGGCTCCAAAGAATATAATCAGTCTGATTTTGGTGTTGACTATCTGGTGATGTCCATGTGTAGATTTTCTTTTGTGTTGTTGGAAGAGAGTGTTTGCTATGACTAGTGTGTTCTCTTGGCAAAACTCTGTTAGCCTTTGCCCTGCTTCATTTTGTACTCCAAGGCCAAATTTGCCTGTTACTCCAGGTTTTTCTTGACTTCCTGCTTTTGCATTCCAGTCCCCTATGATGAAAAGGACATCTTTTTTGGGTGTTAATAAGGAAATTTTTGTCTTCAGTTAAGTGAAAAATTAATTGATTGCTGGGAGAAATATCAATAACAGATATGCAGATGACACCACCCTTATGGCAGAAAGCAAAGAAGAACTAAAGAGCCTCTTGATGAAAGTGAAAGAGGAGACTGAAAAAGCTGGCTTAAAACACCGTGTTCAGAAAACCAAGATCATGGCATCCGGTCCCATTACTTCATGGCAAATAGATAGGTAAACGATGGAAACAGTCACAGACTTTATTTTTGGGGGCTCCAAAATCATTGCAGATGGTGACTACAGCCATGAAATTAAAAGATGCTTGCTCCTTGGAAGAAAAGCTATGACCAACTTAGACAGCATATTAAAAAGCAGAGACATTACTTTGCCAAAAAGGTCCGTCTAGTCAAATCTATGGTTTTTCCAGTAGTCATGTATGGATGTGCGAGTTGAACTGGAAAGAAAGCTGGGCACTGAAGAATTGATGCTTTTGAACTGTGGTGTTGCCGAAGACTCTTGAGAGTCCCTTGGACTGCAAGGAGATCCAACCAGTCAGTCTTAAAGGAAATCAGTCCTGAATATTCATCGGAAGGACTGATGCGAAGAAGTGACTCATTTGAAAAGACCCTGATGCTGGGAAAGATTGAAGGCAGGAGGAGAAGTGGACGGCAGAGGATGAGATGGTTGGATGGCATATCCGACTCAATGGACATGAGTTTGAGCAAGCTCTGGGAGTTGGTGTTGGACAGGGAAGCCTGGTGTGCTGCAGTCAAGAGTTGGACACGACTGAGCAACTGAACTGAACTGAACTGATAAATTTATGAAGTTATTAACAGAACTGTGGTTATGTGAGAGAATATCCTATTCTCACAAAGTATATTCTGAAAAATGTTTAGGGGTAAGGGGCCATGATGTATATGATCTGCGTGTAAATGGTTCAGGAGAAAAAGTAAAATATAGTTACATAGAGCATGCAAATGATCAAACAAATGGGATAAAATGTTAGCAGTAGAAAAAAAGGGTATACATATATTCGTGTTACCATTTTATTTTTTTCTTTTTTGGCCACACTGTGCAACATGTGAGAACTTAGTTCCCTGACCAGGGATCGAACTCCCACTCTATAGTGGAAGTGCAGCGTCTTAACCACTGGACCACCAGAAAAGTCCCTGATTTTTAAATTTTTGACATTATTTTCAAATAAAGAATTTTGTCAGTTCCTCTTTTTCTTGTAATTGCCCAGTATTCATTTTTGTTGACATACTTTTATGTATTTAAGTCGTCCTCCTAGTGATAGACATTTGTTTCTAAACTTTTGCTATTGCAAACAGTTTTTCAGTGAATAACATACAACATTGTTTTTCACAGGTGTAGACTTATCTGTTGGATGAAGAATCACTAAACCAAAGGATATAATGCTTTATTTTATTTTCTATAGTGATAAAGTATTCTTTTCCTTTTTTAAAAAATTGAAATGTAGTTGATTTAGTGTTGTATTCATTTCTGTTGTATAGCAGAGTGACTCAGTTATGCATATACAGATATAGGAATTCTTTCCCATTATGGTTTATCCTGGGAGTTTGGATATAGTTCCCTGTGCTATATAGCAAGACCTTGCTTTTTATCCATTCTAAATGTAATAGTTTGGCATACAGCAACAAAGACCCAAAGCAATCAAAAATAAATTTTTTAAAAAATGTAATAGTTTGTATAATGCTGTATATTTTGATACATATGGCCATAACACCTTAAAATAAGTTGCTGATGGCTAATCAGCATTAAAGCCCAGAGAAAGGGAATTCTGGTTTTTACCTTTCTGAACAAATTTATTTTTCTTTCTCTACAGTGTGCATATGAAGATTGAGGAAAAGATCACATTAACCTGTGGCCGAGATGGAGGATTACAGAACATGGAGCTGCACGGCATGATCATGCTTAGGATCTCAGATGATAAGTTTGGCCGAATTCGTCTTCATGTGGAAAATGAAGACAAGAAAGGAGTACAGCTACAGGTGCCTAGAGGCTTTTAATAAGGGATTATTAAGGCTTTTGTCTACTTAGCACAGTCTTTTTCAGCTGGAGCTCCTATATGAACCATAGAACACAGATGATTATTTACTTTATGTAACTAGTACCGTTCTAGATGCATAGGAAGAAAGTTAATCTGTTATCTACAGTGGATGCCTTGAGTCGATAAATGCCTTCCCAAGCCAGTTGTGAGTGATTGACAGCAACTGTATTAGTATGGCCTTTTAATATTGAAAATGAGTGAAAGGTCATTTTGAAATCTAATAAATGACTTCATAATCACTAACAGAGGTACAAAGAGATGCTTATCTGTTACTATTATGCAAAAGTAAATTCATTTAGGATTTTGCTTGAAGTATAGTTAAAGAAACAACAAGTTTTAAAACTTAATGGGCAGGTATTTTATTAAAACAAATGACACTGTTTACTCATTCTGCTACTCTATAAACTGCCAGTGCTTGTTTTGTTAGCTGAAAGACAGTATCTAATGGTATATTCGAAACGTACATAAAATTCTTAAAAATAAGTATGTTCTATCTATGTGACTTCTTTCTAAGAAACCTTTATAACAGTTGTTCTTGTTACATTTTATTTACTTATTTTCAAACATTTTATTTATTTATTGATGGTTTGGCTGAATCTTTGTTGCTGCATAGGCTACTCTCAGCTATGGTATGCAGGCTTCTCACTTGAAGCGGCTTCTTTTGCTTCAGAGCACAGGCTCTAGGCCCACAGGCTTCAGTAGTTGAGGCTTCCAGACTCTAGAAAACAGGCTCAGTAGTTGTAGCTCATGGGCTTAGTTGCTTCATGGCATGTGGGATCTTCCCGAATCAGGGACTGATCACCTGCATTTGCAGGTGGATTCTTTACCACTGAGCCACGGGAAGTCCTGTCTTATTTTATGTTTAAAAATTTTTGGCTGCACTGTGTGGCACATGGGGTCTTAGTTCCCTTACCAGGGATCAAACCCACCTCCTCTCCATTAGAAGTGTGGAGTCTTAACCACTGGACCACCAAGGAAGATTGTTATATTTTATTTAGATAATTGATCTTACATCTCTTGTCACAAGAACAAAACCTTTTTAGAGAAGAAGGTGATTTTGTCTACTTTTTTCCCTCCCTCATAGTTCAGTTCAGCTCAGCTCAGTTGTGTCCGACTCTTTGCGACCCCATGGACTGCAGCACGCCAGGCTACCCTGTCCATCACCAACTCCCGGAGCTTGTCCAGACTCATGTCCATCAAGTCAGTGATGCCATCCAACCATCTCACCCTCTGTTGTCCCCTTCTCCTCCTGCCTTTAGTCTTTCCCAGCATCAGGGTCTTTTCAAATGAGTCACTTCTTCGCATCAGTTGGCCAAAGTATTGGGAGTTTCAGCATCAATCCTTCCAGTGAATATTCAGGACTGATTTCCTTTAGGAATGACTGGTTTGATCTCCTTGTAGTCCAAGGGACTCTCAAGAGTCTTCTCCAACACCACAGTTCAAAAGCATAACCAACACACAGTTGTCTTTTGGAAGTAGTGCTTTTATTATTTGACAGTAGCATTGCTGGCTCGTAAAGTGTATGTAGTCATCAATCCAGAAGTTTCTTCTTTTTCCTTTTTTCCCCTGAATATGACTTCTTTAATAAAGATTAGTCCATCTTATTTGGCCTGAGTTTGAACAACTTTAGCTCTCTACACAAAATTGCAAGTAAACTTTGCACAGAGCTTTCTTAACTGAGTGACTTCACTTTCACTTTTCACTTTTATGCGCTGGAGAAGGAAATGGCAACCCACTCCAGTGTTCTTGCCTGGAGAACCCCAGGGATGGGGTTGCACAGAGTCTTGGACACGACTGAAGTGACTTAGCAGCTGCAGTTTCCCTCTCCTTCATTAGTGTAAGGTGAGGACTGCTGTGTGACACAGACAGCTGATCAACCTCTGACTCTGCTCTTCTAATTGGCACGTTTGGCCCCACCATGACGTTGCTCCCCTTGAAGTTGTTTTTTTTTCCCTTGAAGTATTTTGTAAAGGACTTGGCTGATGGTCTTTTGACTTTTTCAGTTACAAAATTACTAATTTGTTACAAACAAAATGGGTTAGAGTGAAAATTACTTTATTGCTATTTTTAAAATGTCTTAAATCTTTAAAAGTCACTCAGGGACCTCCCTGGTGGTTCAGTAGTTAAGATTGCACCTTCCAACCAGGGGATGTGGGTTTGATCCCTGGTCGAGGAACTAAGATCGCATATGCTGTGGGGTTGCTAAACCTGCTCACCGAAGTGAAGACCCAGAGCAGACAAAATTTTTTAAAACAGTCTTTGAAGAAGGGAAATGTTTCTTCAAAATCAAAAATAATTGAAATTTTTTAGGCACCCTCTTTTAGATGTTTAGATTATGAGCCATGTAAGACCAAAAGGAATTTATTTCCTGTCTTGTCATGTCTGAACCTCAGAAATTTTCTTTCCTTTCTCATTTCAGACCCATCCAAATGTGGATAAAAAACTTTTCACTGCAGAATCTCTAATTGGTTTGAAGAATCCAGAGAAATCATTTCCAGTCAACAGTGATGTAGGGGTGCTAAAGTGGAGACTACAGACCACAGAGGAATCTTTTATTCCACTGACAAGTAAGTGCCTTTGGCCAGTCCTACTAAGCTAGTCTGCATTGAGAATTAGAAATAGCCTTGGTCACTTGGGTACTCTTACCCTTATTGCCATAATTCTTTTTGACAAAATGACCTTTTAAAATGGACTGTATTTTAATGATTAGATTTAATTTTTAATATCTTTAATTTTGAAACCATTGTTTTTAATAGTTTACATTAGAAAGTTTTAAGGCTGATATCAGTTTTGATTTGCTGTCTTAACTTTGCTTCATTCTTTTCCTAATGTTCTAGTATACTTGCTTTGCTTTTGTCTTCAGTTAATTGCTGGCCCTCAGAAAGTGGAAATGGTTGTGATGTCAACATAGAATATGAGCTACAAGAAGATAATTTAGAACTGAATGATGTGGTTATCACCATTCCACTCCCGTAAGTTCCCCACATAATTACTTTTTCTGTAGTAAGCTTATAAAACTAGTCTTTTAGAACTCAATTTCGGAGGCAACACTTAGCTGACTATCCCTGCTAAGATATATAAGATACAAAGGCCAGCTGTGAAAGAAACCTGGTACAAAAGACTGCATACTTACTGTATGATTCCATGTATAATACATTCTGAAAAGATAATACTCTTGAGACAGAAATCAGGCATTTGATTGCAGAGGAGCACAAGGAAACTTTGGAGATGATGGAAATGTCCTGTGACTTGATTGTAATGTGCTTACAAGATACATTTGTCAAAATGCATCCAACTGTATGCTTTTGAAGGAGTGCATATTACTGACTTTAAAGCCAAGCATACAAAGCTGGTTGTAGTTCTGAAGATGTTTTCAGATGTTGGTCTTCAGTTTGCTCTTGTAGTAATGAAGGCTTCCAGCAGGAGGAGCCAGTTCTCTGTTTTGTTTCGCAGCTCTTAAATAAGAAACTGAGTCTGTCAGACAGAATTCTTCTTTTTCCACCTTCTTTGCTAAGTTACCAGCTAAAGATGAGAGTATGATTTCAGGGTACTCTTCTTGGCGAAATAAGGTGTTTGCATTAGTTTCAGGAAATTTTCTAACAACTTCATTGAGGTATGGTTGACATGCAATAAACTACATATGTTTAAATTGTACAGTCGGTTAAGTATTGACCTATATGCACCTGTGAAACTATGATCACAATTAAAATAACAAAAATCCATCACCCCCAGAAGTTTAGTTCCTGTAAGCTTTTGATGTGTGTTTAAATGGCATACTTTCTAGGATCACCTAGAAATACTCTATCTCCTCACTAGCATTTCCAGTTACTGAACTATTATTATTTCACCATTGAATCCCTGCTTCTCCACTCTGCCTCTCAGCATCCCCATGATTAAGTACAGGGCTTAATAATGAATACCTAGTAAGTATATTCTTAGTGTGTTTTTACTATTAAATTGCTCAGTTATTATTACAGAGAAGATGGTTTTAATTTAATATGCAGGTTTGTTCAAATTAATTTTAAATTAATTTGAATTAAAATTAAATTGTAGTTTGAGTCAGGTTTTAACATGGCCAGGTCTGGTTTTAGTCATTCTTATTTCCATTTTTTAAAACATGATTTATTACCAGTGTCCCCTTTAATGGGCTAATCATCTTAATTCTTCACAGCTTGGTTGTTATTTCAGAACAATAGATGTCTGCCTTGAACCATCCTGAGACTTGGGTGTTGGTGACAGGTGTGGGTTTTATTTTGTCAAGATTTATTTTGCTAGACTATTTTTAGGATGCCACAAGTTTTAGGCCTCTCCATCTACCCTATAATTGTGGTTATGGTGGTTTCCTGTGTCTTAGTTCAATTTTGCAACAGTCTCCAGAAGAGACCCTTGGATAGCACTTTACCCTTTTATCTAGAACTGATCAAATTAGAGCTTAGAACCAGAATGGGAACAAGGGCAAAGGGAAGAAACATAAGTACAACTGGGAGCATAAAAGAGTTAATGCTGTTATCTCACCCTTATCAAAGTTTTTTTGGTCTCCCTTATTTACTGAGCCCCTAATGCAAACATTGGATGTCACTGGTGAATTAAAAGGTGGTAAATTTAGAATGTGTAGGAGTAGGTGACACTGCCTGTCAGCCGTGTGTGGGGGTGTGAAATACATCCTAACTAGCCCTGGTTCTCCTGCAGATTTAGGACAACTGTGTATCTCTCTTTCCCATCATGCTCACGTTTTGCCCAGGGGCAATTGTTCTTTCACTTACCAAATAAAAGTTCACTTCCTGGATTGTAAATCAAATAAACCCGCTGGTATCAACTCCAGTAAGTTTTGAAACATTCTGAAATCTTTTGAAAATATTCTCTCAGAGGTCCAAATTCATTTCCATTCTAAATAACCATAGGCATTTTTAAGTTCTCCCCCACTGTTCCTATGTTCCCCCTCATTGGCATCTGTAAAGAGAACAACACTGTGTTAAAATTCCTTCTTGACAATGCAGCAAACCATTAGTGCAGGATTTTTTGAAATATATCCCACTTAACACATTTGTCAGTCTCAGTCCCCTGCCAGCTCCAGATCTAGTCCATAAGTTGAAACAGCTCATGACTCTGTGCCAAGTACTTAAGGTTGTATATATCTGTACCTACAAGAAGGGATGAGCGAAAGAAACCCTTAGCCAATGTAAAGGTCCTTGAGGTTATTAAGGAGTCTAATTTTTTCTAGGATTGTATAAAAGCAGGCAGAATTTGAGAAGCATAATCAAATTTGGGGCTGGTTTTCCTTGGCAGAGTTTTTCTAACTCTGGACAGCTAACTTGACATGGGTGTTTCTTTTTTTTTTTTGACATGGGTGTTTCTTGTGGCAGATCTGGTGTTGGCGCTCCAGTGATTGGTGAGATTGATGGCGAGTATCGACATGACAGTCGACGAAATACCTTGGAGTGGTGCCTGCCAGTGATTGATGCCAAAAATAAGAGTGGCAGCCTTGAGTTCAGCATTGCTGGGCAGCCCAATGACTTCTTCCCTGTTCAAGTCTCCTTCATCTCCAAAAAAAATTACTGTAACATACAGGTATTCCCTTTTAATAGAGATCTTACACGGGGAAGGTGGTAGAACAGATGTTTAATAGGCAATATGACTTCATAGAGCAGAAAAATCAGAAAAAACTATGTCCCCCATGGATTCCATTGCTGTCTCATTTTATTGCATGCATGCTCAGTTGCTTCATTCATGTCCAACTCTTTGCAGCCCTTTGGACTATAGCCCACCAAGCTCTTCTGTCCATGGGATTCTCCAGGCAAGAATACTGGAGTGGGTTGCTGTCCCCTCCTTCACGAGATCTTCCTGACCCAGGGATCAAACACGAGTCTCCTGCATTGCAGGCAGATTCTTTAATGCTGAGCCACAGTCTTGGTCAAATTCTTCACCTGCTTTATTTCAGTTTTTTTCTCTAGATCAGATAAAGAAATTGAATGTGACTATGTATAAAAGTATTATGGGTGTGCAGGAGTCATATCTCTTAGTTGCCTGTTTTTTCAGTAATCTCATGTTATCTTAGAATCCATTTACCAAAGCATTCAGTACATGACTTAGTAATGCCTTTTGTAGTATTGTCACTTTATTTGAACCCAAAGACAGCTTCCCATCATTAATATGGATCATTATAAGCCATTTCTGCTGTAAACTTTGTCCTTTAGGTAGACAAAACAGTGGAAATTTGTGAACTGTTCCTTATTTATTTGTTTAGGCTGCACCACATGGCTTGCAGGATCTTAGTTTCTCAACCAGGGATTGAACCCAGGCCCCGTGGCAGTGAAAGTGCCGAATCCTAACCACAGGACTGCCAGGGAATTCCCTTTAAACTGTTTAGGTCATTATTTTTAACTCTTAGGTCATTATTTTTAACTCCTTGTTTTTCTAGTTTTTGAAATTGCATTACAAGCACTGAGTTTATATTGTCATCTTCACCTCTGACTTGTTGATTTGCACTCTTACCTTTCCAGATGGTCTCTGTCTCTCCTCTGAGTGCTTGGGAAGTTATAACTTCCTCTGTCATATGTTTTCCTCTTGTCAGTTTTCTCTCTCCCCTGCCCCCACTCAGTTACTGGCTCAACCCCATCAGTATTGAAGCACATTGTTGAACCCGAGACATTTTCGTCTTAGGGACCGTTTGAAGAACAGGACAGTATAAATTGCTCTATCAGAACTTCATTAGAAAATGTGAGTCAGTGGTTCAAGTTTTGTATTGGTGCCATTACAGGCACCATTGTTACAGGTAATTCATTAAACTGGATGTTTATTATTAATAAAAAGAAATCTCATTAGAATGACCCAGCCATATCTGAAAAATAAGTATGATAGAGTGGCTTAATGAGACTTTGAGAGCACTTTTAACAAGTAATGTTGAGTTGTTAAAATACTGCCTTTTGGGTCAAAATGTTCATTGATCATCCTTATAGAATTTCTGTGACCTAATGGGTTTTATAGGGCAGGGCCTGGGCAGTGACTGCTTACTATGGACCTTTTACTTAATACCATTCTATATGTCATCCCAAGAGTTGTCTTTTCTGTCAAAGAACAGATTAATCATGTTGATGAGGAGAAGTAATGCTGTGAGCTGCAGTTGTGAATTGAACTTTTTAGTATTTCTGAGTTAAACTTTTAATACTGCTTTCGTGAATTTGATCTGTTCTGTACTGAGAATTTAGCCAGCACCTTGAAGACCCGCTGTTCTGCTTTACCTTACTCTTTGTTTGTTTTCCTAGGTTACCAAAGTGACCCAGGTAGATGGAAACAGCCCTGTAAGGTTTTCCACAGAGACCACTTTCCTAGTGGATAAGTATGAAATTCTGTAATACCGAGAAGGAACCGAAAAGGAAAATTTTCAAATAAAGAAGAAGCCAGCAGTGGCTGAAGAGTTTTTTCCAAACCCACAAGCCATTGGAGACCCTTTTTTTTCCAAATACAGTGCACGATTCTCTGAGCGCAAGGACCCTCAGCTCCCCTCAGTGTTTCAGTGTCACAGAGACATTCTTTGGCAAAGCAGTGGCACACTGTACAGGGAAAGGCTGCTGATTTCTTTGGCAGATTTACTGGCCAGCAGGAAAACAAGCTCTCCAGAGAATGCCCCCAGTTAATCATTCTTTCCCTTTGCCTAAGTTGTTCTTTTATTTGAATCCTTAAATATATTATATTTCATACTTTGTTTTTAAAAAGTATTCTCTGCAGAAGATTTTAATCTTTCACACTTCTTTACCTTCAGTTTTTTTCTTTTGTATATCCAGTCAAGCCCTGGGGTCATCTGCATATAGGCATTGTATCTGGCACTCCCGTAACTGGTTGATCTAATCCAGTCTTGATTTTTGGACTATACAAGTGAACTGCTTGAGGGGTATGAGGTCTGCACATTAAAAGATAAGGTTGTCTTATGTCCTTTTCCTATATCTATTCATCCCTCCATTCCTTTGCCAAGCTGTTTTCTTTTCAGGTTTGTCGCTTTGCTTTAGAACACTACTGTGAATCCTATTGTGTCAGTAATAAAGACAGCTGAGAAGCAGCTTCCAGATGGCATAGCCCCCCACTTCAAGGTGTCTGGGAGGAGAACGGTCATGTCCAGTTAGGGATTTCACACCCGCAGGTAATCATGTCTGCTGCTGGTGCTACCCGTCCTTCCATTCTCCACATTTTGGGTACTTCAGCTAATACATGATAGCTCATGGTCTTTGTAATCCATTCACATTCCTGAGATTCACCACCTTCCTCTTCCTGAATGTTCTCTCTGTGTCATCAGTTTTTTCCTATCCATCTGAAATAAGGTTATGATTTTGGAGGCTGAACCCTCAGTGAGTCTTTGTGCCAATGCCGTTGGCCCTAAACTGTCAAGGAGATTCCAGTTTCACCACCAGATTTTTAGCCTTTCAAGGTGCAGCTGATTATATTGCTGTATAGGAATTGCTGATAATACTCCTTTCTAGCCTCCTCAACATTTTTTTCAGCAGCCTATCCTTCCCATCTCTGAAATCCTTCCTTTTTCTCCCCTAAGCCTTTTCTGTAGAGTGTCATCATGTAGCGATTGTTTCTCAGCCCCTCATCCATTATTTCTTCAGTGGAGAAGACTGCATCAGCCAGCCTTGGGTTGTCTTTTAATCCAGTATTGCACTGGGGATCGGTAGAGTTGTTGCCAGGCTGCAGCCAAGGGGGCGGGGGGTGGGGGGTGGAGACGGATGACAGTAGACTCCCTCCTGCACTCTCGGCTTGTTGGAGAGTATCACTCTGAACATTTGGCCTTCCCTGCAAAGAGTGTACTGTACTTGAAGCAAAGCAGTCACACAGAAATGGCCATGGATGGAATTGTTTGCCAAAGAAATTTCTGGCCTTTCCCTTCCCCTTAATCGCATCAGGGAAGAATCCTTATTTCTAGCTTGGTTTCCACATAAGGTTTTTTGAGGAAGGGGACTGGGACAAGAAATCTGTCATGTAGTTACGTAGACAAGGAATCTTATTAATTCAGTTTTGTTTGAGAGTTGCTTGTCCATATGATTTTTTAAAAGTGAGATTTAGTTTCACAAAAACTTTTTTTTCTGAAATTACTTTTGGGGTAATATTTAAATGAGAGACATTTTGTAACCCTGTAAAATACATAGGGAATATAACATTCCAGTGTACACACAGAAGACAGATTCTTTAATCAAATAAAGAGTATTATAAAATGAATGGTTTTTAGACTCTTGACCCTCTCATCCTTTGGTGTCATCTTGGTGATTCAGAATGATGTAATGGGATCTAAGATTAAAAATTAATGATATGTTTCTTTTAAGAGGAAATAATCTCTAAGAGTATTCATTGCCTTTTCTCCCTATAACAAGTATTGTACCTCCTTGTGTATTTTTCTGCATTTGAGAACAGACACAAACACATGTACTCCTGACAGTGTAGCTTTTGAATTTGATGACACTATGGGCTTTTGATCCTCATTTTGTCAGGGGCAGTTGTGGAATCAGAAAAATTAAGCTTCATCTTGAAGGAGTAGCCATAGGTGGTGATACCTTGGTGCATTCTCTTCCCCATTAGACAAACAGTGGTAAGAAGTAAGTGATGCAGGCATGAGTGATGAATGCCTTGGATAATGCCTCCAAAAAGGCTGGTTCCTTACCCTCTAAGTTTAAAACTATAGAATGTCACCAAATTGGAAGGCAGATCTCTGATGAATAATAAGTTTCTGGGATGAGTAAGTTTTTATTTTAATGGTGAGAGGTAAGATTTTGAATTTTTTTTACTTAAGAGAACTAGCAAGTATCTTGTCTAATGTTTCTAAAGTATAGCTTGGCTCCCTGAGGCTGTAACGTTAATCCAGTGAAATGAAGCACACCAAACCCACACCACACCCTCTGGCGGCTGATACCTCCTTGGTGTCAGTTGGACTTTTTGTTGGCTTCTTGTGAGGGAGACTTAAAATAATTACATCTGACTGAGCATTCTGTTTGATGTAGGAGGTTTGTGGTTCCTGCTCTGGGTTCATTAATTCCACATAGAGAAGGTAGGGAGGGAGGTGAGTTCCTTTTAAGAAAAGGTCTGTCATTCATCTACTCAGTATCAAACCCCAAATTAATCAGCCCATGCATCGCTGCAGGAAACATTGCCCTCAGTTGAAATCTTACACACTAGGTAGCCTCAGATTTCCAGAGTCGATACAGAACAGCTTTTTAAAAAGTTATGTGGGACTTTTTTGGCAGTCTGGTGGCTAAGACTCTGCCCTTCCACTTCAGGGGCTGCAGGTTCGATCCCTGGTTGGTGAGCTAAGATCCGGAAAAAAAAATTTTTTTTATATCTGCAGGGCTCATGGGAGGAAGAGAGGAAAATAGAAAGTCCCCATCCTCAAGAAGGTTGAACTGGAAGCAACAGCTGTACCTCCTTAAAAGTGTAGCTTTCTTGCTAAAGCAGACACATCAACTGCAACTAGCGGTTCTCAGTGTGGGTCTCTAAGGGTGAGGGCTTTGGTCTGGTAGGTTTTAAAGGTAAAATTAAGCAAAAATGCAGAATTGACTCCCCTGGACTATGCACAAGTATCATTGCAACCATCCTTTCTCTGCATTCCCTGTTTTTGCCCCCTTTGGTAAATATACCTGGAGCTGTAGAGCTTCTTTGAAACTCCTAGAAGATCCACAAGTAGGTTGGCTGCTGTGTCCTGTCTTAACCCAAGAGCAGACAACATCTCTACAAGAGTCAGTTTCACCTCTCACCCTAGGGAGTTAGTGATTGATGAGGAGACAAGCCTTTAGGAAGTTTAGACTACTTTTCCAAACTGAGCTGTCCCCTCTCAACACCAGAGGTCAAGCAACCAGGCAGTTTTTAGAAGCTTAGGCCACTCCCCTATCCCCTACTCCCACTGGCCAGAAAGGAAAGTTTTTTTGCCTTGCTGTTCATAGGGCAGGGGTTATGGGAAGTTCCCATAGGTGTAACTCTGAGATCAGGTTGATGTGCTATTTGGGAAAGAAGTGTTACAAATTCAAAAGCCCTGAGAGAAATGGAAATAGGTCTTGTTTCCCATTTTTTGCCTGAATGAATCCTTGTTCATTTCTGCTCATAGGAAGGTCCAGAGCTATGGACGGTAGATAAGCCCAGTCTTCCATCCTACACAAAATTTCCACTCAGCTTGGAAGTATCTTAGCTGTGAATAGAAGTGTGGATTGTGTGATTTCAAAAACAGGCTGAGAAGAGAGTTTCTGCTCTTTTCAGCTACTGAAGAAAGGTTTGAACTTTCTCCCCAAATTGGATGCAGTGAGGAGTTAGTTACTTGGCATCATTGGTGGCACCACACCTACACTAATGATGCCTGAGTTCAGGATCCCAAGATGCCAGAAGGGATAGCTTTCTGGGGTAGGGTGTGTATCTACAGGGATTGCTTGCTGTAATGAGCAATAATAACCTCTTTCTGAGGCTGGAGGGAGTACAATTTGAGAGGAGGGACAGCTGGGAAATGTGCTGTGGCTAGGACAGGGTGGATGTGGAAATCGACTCCTGACATTCATAACCAAGTGCAGAGGGCTTTCAAAAATCCACTCTTCCACACCCAGCCTTTGCCCTCTCCCCCTGCTTCCACCTCGGAAAGTTTGAAGCATGCTTGGAAAGCTGCTTTCTGCTTTCTTCTCTCTTCCTCCCCCTTTCTGAGCTCCCAGCTGCTCGACCTCTTGCGTAACTGTGCGAGAGGACTGAGTCTTTCTGATGGGCTCCAGATGTGGAGCGGGGTGGGGGTGGAGGGTGGGGATGGTACGTCTGAAGTCCCCTGAGCGCTCCAACTGTGGGAACACAGGGCCCGGACACAGCGGGAGCAAGGACACACTGCACAGAGCCTTTGTCCTGGGCTCAGCGGACTGCTGGGCTGGAGGACAGCAGTTGGGTGATGTCTCAACCCCCTGCTCTAGCATCAGCTGCCTCTGTGGCAGGCTTGATTATTCCCCCAAATTCCTCCTGACCAAGACAGCAAGGAAGAGTTGGATTTGTGAAGCACAGTTAAGTGAAAAGTCTGTGAGGCACCCCAATCTGAGCCTCTCCCCTCAAATCCTGGGTCTTGGCACATAAGATACAACAAGTTTGGGTTTTTTTTGCTTTTTTTATTTAACAGAATAGCCTGAAAATTACTCTTGTGATCTGCTTCATGAAAGGTGGTCAGAGTTAAAATACTTTTATGATCTGCAAAAGGTATGAAGAAAGAATAAGTCTTCCGCTCTCAACACTGCTCCCCCACCCCTGACAGATCCTGGGGTTTCCTGATACCCATGGCACATGCTGAATGAAGCCTGATAGACTGACCTCTGTTAGCTACAGCAGGTAGCTGCAAAGAGCCATCCACCCCTCCTGCTTCTAGTCCCGTTGGTTCCAGCCTCCAGCTGGGGGTGGGGAGGGTCCCCCTGCTAGTGCTGGCCCTGTCAATGAGTGGCCAAAAGTTCCTGCAGTTCAGCTTCCTGCTGTTCTGGGTTAAACAGGGAGGGTGCATAGTAAAAGCACTGAATCAGAACAAGATTTGTCCACCACAAATTATTTTCTGCTCTCCTCTGCTCACTGGAATGTCACAGCCTTGGGGGCTTTCTGCTTCCTATCCTTCATGGAGGAAGAGTCTTAGGGGTCCATCCAGTGCAGGTTTAAAAGGTCCAGTCTAGTTGGGTTCAGATCCCTAGGTCCTCCCCCATCAGTCTCCTGGGGCAAGAGCTGGGCTTTACAAGGTAAGGATCAGCTGTCAGCTTGGATTTCGGGTGGTGGTTGAAAAGAAGAATGACCTTCTCCCAGGCTGTTTCCAGGCTTCTCTAAGGTTTTCAGGTCCTCCCCACCCACTTCTTCCTTAATAAACCCTTACTCCTACAGAGACCCAAACTGCTACAGGATGCTGTGCTCAACCACTTTGAGCACCAGTTTGCCTCCCAGCTGTAATCCCGCAGGTTGTGGGGGGAGGGGGGTGGATTGACAGGGGGGCAAGATGATAATTCCATTCGGTTTTCTTGTGCTTTACAGTTTGCGCGGCATTTTACCATGCCTTCTTATACCTATCTTCAGAAATATCTGTGACGCCCTATCTGGACGGTTATTAACCCCATTTACAGCTCGTCCTGGCGGAGGGGCTTGGAGTAGGATGAGGAGAAGGGGCGACAGAGGGTAGATAGACCTGGATACCTTCAGCAGATATTCCGAGATGTTAAGAACATGCACAGCTGGGACCATGAAGTTCACTGGGATCTGATGGAGGATTCAGGCATCTAAACTGAAAAAAAGAGGAGGGGCGGACTAGAGAGAAACGGGAAAACACCCTCAGAAGAGCCTTAAGGCCTAGGGGTGGAGGGTGGTCCAGGAGAGTCCGAAGGGGAGGGCGAGCGGGGACTGGGTGTGCACGCGGTGGTGGTGGAGAGCCCAGCTGCGGAGATGAACAAAGCGCGCGCTGTGCGGGCGTGGGGGGAGGTGCCGCTCTGGGAAAGGCTGGGTGGGGGGACCTTGGGCTCCAGTCCCACAAGGGCGTCTCCTCTGGCCAGGCGGACGGGACGGGGGGACGGGGCGGGGACTAGCGGGGGGAGGGGGGAGGAAGGCGGGACCCACTTGCTCTCCTCCTACTCTGCGGGCTTCCAGGGAAAAGCAAGAGTGTCCTTCGGAGCCTGGGGCCGCGGCTGCAGAGCTGGGCGAAAGACCCGGTGTGTCCCTCTCCCCTCGAGGTGAGGGCGCTCCCTCCCGCTACGCCTGCGGGTCCCGCTCGCTGCGCGGCTGGGACGGGATAAGAGGAAGTCCCGGGGACCTGGCGAGAGCCCTCAAACCAGCTCTGGGCTGGAAGATCCCGGAGAAGCCGGTAGGGGAAGAGGGGCGCCGCAGGTGAGTGCGTGGGGACGCGGGGGGCTTTGTGCCGAGCGGGCTCCGCTGCTCTCCCGGGAGCGGCTTGCTCCTGCCCTCCCGAGCCGCTGCCGGCGCCGCCGCCAGAGGGGGCCCTTGCGCTCCGCCCCACCACCGCCGCCCGCCGCCCGCCGCCCCGGGGGGAACGCGGATCCCTGTCCCAGGACTTTCCTGAGGGCGACTGGGCGACACTCGCGGGGTCTCGTCCGCCTGCTCCCCTCACCTCCCCTCTCCCGCCGACAGAAGGACTGAGAGCCCTGCGCCAGGACAGCGGGGTCCCCTGGGGGCATCCCAGCTGCCGTCCCGGGCTGGGCCGCCTTGATGGGACAGGAAAGGGATGCGGAGTCGGGCTCGGAGGCAGTGCTGTCCGGAAGGGACCGCTGGGTGTGTTCAGGGGATGGGTGGCACATCTGGGGCCTCCTGGGCCCTGCCTGGGCCCCGCGTCTTTAGGGGTCCGGGAGGCTGGAGGGGGGGCCGTGGGGGCCGTGAGTCTCCGGCCCATGCCACGCCCGCACAGTCCAGATTCGACTCCCTTGCGGAGTTCCCCCGTGCCGGGGCTGAGCCAGGTCATCCGGGCTCCTCGGGGAAGGGGAAGCGCGCGGGCGGGGGCGGTGGGGGACTGGGAGGGGCCCCGGAGTTGCCGAGGCTTCCACGGACGCTTCCGCCGAGGCGCGCGCGAGCGGAGGCTGGGCCGGGAGACGCAGCGGCCCGGCGGGGGACCCAGGGCGCCGGGGCGGAGCTGCATTCTGGGCCCGTTAGCTCAGCCGTCCCGGAGGCTCCGGGGACTGACTCATCCGGCCGGTTACACACAAACACAACCCCCCCCACCCCCGTCAGGCATCCCACGCGCAGACACACTCGGCGCCCCAGCCGGCATCACCCACGCACCCTTCCCACCGCGCACGCCACGCGGACACGCCCGTCTCTCTGCCGTGACACGTGTGGGACCCAACAACATCTAGACCTCTACCCACTCCGCGCACACGCCAAGCACTCGCAGCCCTCGCAGGAAGCCCACATCCACACCTGCAGCCCCCGCGCACACGCATCCCGCGATTCACACACCCACCTGCCGCTCCCGCCCATCACACACTCAGTCCGCACACACGAATGCCACGCGCGCGGCCCCCTCCCGCAGCCGCCCGCGGGGAGCCGGCGGTGTCTGGGGGCCGCGCCTTTCCCGGACCGCGCAAACAAGCGGCCCCTTCTCCCGGCCCGGCCAAAGAAAGGCCGCTTGTCCGGCGTCAGCCGCGGGCGGGGCCGCCCAACACTGCGGCCTTGTCCCACCTGGCGGCCCTGGGGAGGGCGGCGAGGGGCAGCAGGGAGCCCTCTGTGCGGAGGCACCCCACCTCCACTCCTCACACAAATAAAATCACAGCCCCAAACTACACTCGCGCCTCGTCTCACCGCCTGCTCCAGCCCCGGCTGCCCGCCTACAGTCTCTGTCTACAGCTGGGTCCCCAGGCCAGCCCTCCGGACCCCTCTTTCACTCCAGAACCTCACCTCCCGTCCCCACGCCGGTCTCCTCCTCCACGACCCTGGGTACCTTCGACTGCTCCCCCGTACCGTCACCCCCTTACCTTGAGCACTCGTCTGTCCCCAGTCTCCCCCATCTCCTTCGTCCCCCAGTCCTTCTCCTTCTGGTCCCTGTCTCCCCACCCCACCCCCCGCCTCCGCCTCCCCTGCGTCCCCCGGACTCCATCCTGTTTCCCACCTTCTTCCCCTCCTCCCCATCCTCTGCCCTGTCTTCTCTCCCCAGCCCTCCTTTCCCCTCACTCTTCAGTCTCCCTCTTTTGTTTTTCTCTCCAAACCCTTAATCTTCCCTTCCGTCCCACCCCTCCGCAGACCCCCGATTTCCCATCTTCTCAAGTTCTCTGAGGGCTTCCCAGATGGCGCTAGTGGTAAAGAACCTGCCTGCCAATGCTAGAGATATGAGACGTGGGTTCGATCCCGGGTCGGGAAGATCCCCTAGGGGAGGAAATGGAAACCACTCCAGTATTCTTGCCTGGAAAGTAGACAGAGGAGCCTGACGGGCTGCAGTCCATGGGATCGCAGAGTCGGACACGACTGAGCGACTAACAGTCAAGTTCTCTGCGTCCTTTCCCCTACGTCCTCCCCGGCCCCTGCCCGGCTCCGGCGCCCCGCCCACTGGGCTCCCGGCCTCAGTTTCCTTCCCTTCCGGCCCCTTCCTCTGCCAGCGGCCCTTCCTCGAGGCAGACGCGCGCCGAAAGGATCCCAACTCGGCCTCGCTCCCGGGCCGTGCGACGCCCGGGCCACAGGGGACCGCTCTCGCTCCTGGGCCGGCCTCCGGCCTTTCTTCTGGGGCCCGATTTGGAGGCTGGACTTCCTCCAATCCCTGTTGGTTCTGGAACTTCCCAGTCGCTCTCCAGGGCCTCCCGCGCCCCTCGTTAAGGGACCGACCGAGTCCCCCGAAGCGGTGACTCCCCCACGCGGGCAGAGAGCTGGGGTCCAGGTAGGGCAAGGGATCCCCGGTGGCCTGGATGCCCGGGCGTTCGCGCCGGGCCGGGAGGCTGCGGGGCCCGGCGCGGGGTCACCTGCCAGAGCCCTGGCCTCGCCCACGCGGGGCTCTCTAGACATCCAGGTCTCTGCCACCTTGCACCCGAGGAGGCGCTTGGGCGTCTCAGCTCGCAGTGGGAGACCGCTACCAAGAGCCGGGGCTGACCGCGGCGCTTCCCCAGCCCCTCCTCCCAGAGAGCCGGACACGCACCGCAGCGGCCTTTTTTTGGCAGCGGGCGGGCCGGATTTCCCAGGACCGCGGCGGAGCCCGGAGGGGTGAATCGGGTGGGTATAATTATAGCCCCGGGCAGTGGGCAGCCTGGTGGGACGAAGCAGGTCGGCCGCTGGGGCCGCTGGGGGGCGCCCCGGCGGAGCTCGCTTGGCTCTTCCCCCCGGGGAGCGGCGGGAAGAGAGAGCGCCCCCCGGTGGCGGCTCTCCGGGCAGCAGTGCAGCCCGTGGGTCAGCACCGCCCGCCGGCCGGGACGCGTCTGTCTGGTGTATCTCCACTCCACCTGGATTGAGTTTCGGACCTGGAGCCACGGCCTCGAGCCTCCCAGACTCTACATCTTTTCCTGTCTTCTCCGTCTCTCCCTACACCTCCCTCCTTATCTCTTCCTGTTCTTTAACCTCCTTATTCCCTTCTCTCCTCTCCTCCAATCACTCTTTTCCCCCATCAACCTTGTTCTTTTACAGGATTTATCGCCACTTGAGATCCGTGGTGTAAATAAGTGAACACACTCATTGCTCCCTCACAGAGTGATGGTGACAAACTTGACACATGAAGAAACTGAAGCCCAGAAAAGTGAAGTGACTTAAGTTCAGGAAGCTTATACTAGTAACTGGCATATTTACAGTGCTTTGCACTTCACAGAGTGTCATTTGATATAATATCTGAATCTCTAGAGCTTTCCTTGTGGCTCAGCTGGTAAGGAATCTGCATGTAATGTGGGAGACCTGGGTTCCATCCCTGGGTTGGGAAGATCCCCTGGAGAAGGAAATGGCAACCCACTCCAGTACTCTTGCTTGGAAAATCCCATGGATGGAGAAGCCTGGTAGGCTACAGTCTATGGGGTCGCAAAGAGTCGTGGGACACGACTGAGTGACTTCATTTCACTTCACTTCACCCACTCCGGTATTCTTGCCTGGAGAATTCCATGGATTGTATAGTCCATGGGGTTGCAAAGAGTTGGACAGGACTGAGCAACTTTCACTTTCTGAATTTCTAAGACAATCATCTTAAAAAAAACAACCAAACTAATAGTTTTATTGAGGAATGATGTTCATACCATAAATTCACTTAAGTGTACATTCAATTATTTTTAGTGTATTTACAGATCTGGGCAAACCATCATCACAAATAAGTTTTAGAACATTTCTATCATGCCCCCCAAATCTGCCCATTTTTATAGCCCATTAGATGGTCCCTCTGACAGGTCTAATTGGTTCACCCATTCCACCCCTAGCCCCAGGCAAGCAGTAATCCAGACAATATTATTTTTTATTTTATTTATTTATTTAAATTATTTTTAATATAAATCATTATTCCAGTTTTATAGAGAATGATTGACACTCAGAGAAGTTAAATAACATGTCTAAGTTTCTCTCGGTTAATAAATAAGAAAGTCAAGATTAGAATTTAAGGCTCTTGCATCCCAGTCTAAAGCTCTTTCCGCTACCCAGTGATGCCTTTCCTTCACCATTGTTCATTGTTTTGTTTTTCTCACCCCCTCTTTTATATACGCTTATATCCCCAACTCACTGTCTTGCCTCTCCTCCCTCAGAAAGCTCAAGGACTTCCCTCAGTTGAAAGAAGCAGTAGCGCCATCTTTGTCCCTGGAAATTCTTCCCCCGGCCAGATCTCCTGGGGAGGTGCCAGGCCGGCTCGCGGCTTGCTGTAGGTTAACGGCCTTTGCCTTCCCTCTTCCCAGGCAGACTTGGGGTGGGCCTTAGGCCCCGTTCCAGCTTCTCTTCCTCCAGCTTGGGTGGAAATGGTGACGGAGACGATGCATGCCAGGTCCGGAAGGGTGGAAGCTGGGAGGGTAAAATTAGTAACACTATTGCTAAGACCTTTGGGCCCCACTGCCAGGGTCAGACACTCCTTGGAATGCTGGCTCCTGCCCCACTTCCTCTCCAAGTCTCTTAGAAGATGGCTGGAAGAGAAAGTGGAAGGGAACCCTGCCTTCCTGGGTCTCCCTCCCTCCCTGTGGTCACACTCTCTTCAGCTTCTCCAGTAACATTGCAGCAGTCAATAGGAAGCTTCTCACCTCGGCAAGTTGGCCAAGGGATGGGCACATAGGCACAGATTAGTACGTAAAGCTCCTTCCTCACAGTTCTCAGGTGCCAATGCTGTGAGCCATGGAGGGAGGGATGGGGAAGGCTCTGGAGCTCTGGAATCTGTTCTACCTCTGGTTCTAAGGACTTCAGCTCCCTACGGTACCAAATAATGTTGAGAACCCAAGAGTCCTATATTCTCAGTGTTAGTCACCACTGGGGGTTTTATTTTTTATTTTTGCTGATTGTGGGGGTCGGGGTGGGTAAGATGCTTTCTGGGGAGGAGAGGATGCAGGAATTGAGACAGAGATGGCAGTAATTGTGGCATTTCCCCCTCATGTCTCCTTGAAGAAAACATCCTTCTGAGACTCCTGGGGAAAGAGATGGGGAGAGGCTGTGGAAGGGAGCACCCACTCAGCCCTGCCACCTGCCTGGGGCCCCCTGTCTACCAGTGTCCCTGGAGGGGCTGCCTTGAGCTAGCTTTCCTCTCTAAGGTAGATTTTCCCCACCTTCTTATGGCTTCTGATGCCCGAGAGTCCTCAACTGCCAAGGCCTGGGTCCTGGCTGTCAGAGGCAAGAGAGAGACCGTATGGTCTGGGCCCTATAGGACTTTTGGGGGGGGTGCTCTGTGTGTGTGCTTGCGGGGGGGGTCAGGGCTGGTGTGGTGGGGTAGCATCCACGCTGACCTGTGTTGTGGGTGAAGATGTGGCACCGCCCCCTTCCCTCCGCATGCCCCCGCCCCCCCAAGCTCCTGAACTGCCTCCAGGTCTTCAGCAGGAGCTTGCTGGGAGCCACCGTGCCATTGCTCCTGCCTTGAGAACACTGCTGCAGAACCCACTCCTTGCCCCTTTCTGCCCTGGCCTCCTCGCCTCACCTGTTTTCTGCTGTGTCCACAGGAGCTCTGGGGCCCCAGGAACATGGACACTCTCAATAGGAACCAGGTGGGCCCTGGATGTAAGACCCCGGCCCTGGTGCAGGTGAGCAAGGTGGGGGCCATGGGGCAAGAGGGCAGTCTGGTGAGGACAGGTCGGCTCCTCTCCTTCCCTGTGGTCCCAGCTTAAGAATGACATCCACACTACCTCCATGCTCTTCCCCAGGTCCCAAGCCTATTCACAGCTAAGTCTTTAGCTGAATTAGGTTAATTGGTTCACCCAGAAAATACCCTTTGAAAGTCAGGAAGTGGTTTACAGTTCAACTTTGGAGCTATAGCTGTTTCCGCCCTGCCCTCTCTTGTAATTCAGTTTAACAGGGGCAAGCCGTGGCCAAGTGGATTGCCATGGACAAGTCTACAGGGATGAGTCTTGATTGGTCCCCTCTATAGCAACTCCCCCCGCAACTCTTAGCAAGCACCTCCCAGCTCTCCTTAGTTTCTCCTTGTTTCTGTCCTAATAGACAAAAGGGGCAGTTAAACCAAGACGTGAGATAAATCCAGTGGGACGAGTTAGTGGCCTAGATTCAGATCTAATTACAATTTAATGGAATACTGCTCTGCACAAGATTTTGTACACCTACAGAACCCTTTAGAGAGGGTAGGTGCTGGAGAGAGTGCTGGTGTGACTGGGACTAGGGTGGTATGGTGCCCGCCTGGAATCTCTCATGATGCTCATCCCCTACCTCCACCACCTACAGAAAGGACCCTTGGACCTGATCGAAACAGGCAAAGGGCTGAAAGTGCAGACAGACAAACCCCATCTGGTGAGCCTGGGCAGCGGGCGGCTCAGCACAGCCATCACCCTTCTACCGCTGGAAGAAGGTGAGTCTGGGGTGCATCCTGCCTGCCACCCCTCCATCCTTACAGACATTCCTGCTTGGGAATCCAGGCATGCATGCAGGGGCCCCTTTTGCTACCTGCTGATAGTGTTCACCTCCCCCAAATGGGAGGCCATGTCACAACGCCCCCACCCCCCACCCCGCCCCCCAGCTTGCTTCCCTTGTCTGTGCCTCCCCAGACTAATCTGGCTCCATGACTAGGATTAAAGATCAGCTTAGAAATCAGGAGGAGAGCCCTGAAATAGGAGAGCTCATGGCTCTTGGCAACCAGTGTGGCCAAGAAGAAAGGGAACTCCGATCCAGGGCCATGCCTGGAGAGGGAGAAGGCGCTGGTGGAGCTGGAGAGATGGGCAAGATGGGCCTGGGGCAGACCTCCGAGTCAGGCCCTGGCACAGCCCCCTCCACCTTGCAGCTTCTGCCCTTCCTGTCTCCTCTCCTGGCTGCACTTGTTGCCCGGGTGATACTACATTCCCCACATTCTCCAAATACCAGTCCAGGAGCTCTCTCCCTCCAGGGGCTGGGGAGAGAGGGGGTGTGAGGAGGGCAAGGGTTGCAGGTGGCAGAAGGGAGGGAGAGGAGGGGGGGGAGAGCTGGAAGAAAAGGTGGGGGAGCCTAGGGAAGGAGAGAAAAGTTCTGGGGAGAGGGGCTTGGGGGGACTAAGGAAATTCTGCAGTAGAAGCTCCTACTAAGTTTGCAGATCCTCTGTGCCCTCTGGGCCTTCCTGTTTCTGGGGCCGAGACGGGCTCCTACCCCTCACTGTCTCCACCAGGCTCAGGGGCCCCACGGGGTGGGCAGCGATTCTCCCTGGAGTAGGAGATGGCAGTCCCACCATGGCCCTCCCAGCCCCTCCCTGCCTCCTCCGCCTGGACCGGCCCTCTGACACTTGCTTCCTGTCTTCAGGGAGGACCGTGATTGGCTCTGCGGCCAGGGACATCTCACTGCAGGGTCCGGGCCTGGCTCCGGAGCACTGCTACATCGAGAACCTGCGGGGCACCCTCACCCTCTACCCCTGCGGCAATGCCTGCACTATTGATGGGCTCCCAATCCGGCAGCCCACTCGGCTCACTCAGGGTAAGGTCTGACCGCCCTGAAGCCAGGGAGCTTCTGTTTAAAAGCTTGTGCGTGACAGGTGCAGGGGAAGTCTGCTGTTTTGGTTGCCATGGTAACTGCCTGAGTGGCCAAGTTGGGGGTGGGGTGCTCAGGTGCATCTGGATCAGGTGCATTTCAAAACCCCCGCCAGCATCCACACCAGCTTTTCTTTTTTCTCCGGTCGCCCCACCCTACCTCTCACACTGTGGTGGGAAGAGAGAGGAGGTTCCACTGCCTGCTCTCGGAGGACACGGGGAGCTGTGCAGTGGTCGCTAATGGTTGTTAGGGGAGAAGAGCTGGAGCAGCAATGAGGGGAACAATGGCATGGTTCAACGATGCCAAGAGGCAGGTGTTCTAGAAAGCTGTTGAGGTTGGGGAGAGCAGGACAAGGGAGATGGGACAAGGGCAAAAAAATCCGAGGGCACACTCACTCCTGTTAAAACACTGTTGACAACAGCGTCTGGGTCACGAATGTCTTTACCACTCTGTTTCCCAAAGGAACAGGTCTCTCTGTTGTATAAGGGAGCTCTAAAAACTGGGCCTCCAGTTACTATGGTGATGAGGCAGGTAAGGAAGGGCTTAGCCCAGGTAGCACTCTGATAGACCAGGTGTGTTTGCCCTGGGCATCAGTGTATACAGTGAAGCATCATATTAGGGGGATGTGAAAAGTGGGCTTGGGTAGCCGTAAAGGATGGGAGCTTTGGACTAAGCCTGGCTCTAAGGAGGAGGACCAATGCCCTGGCAGTGTTTTCTGGGGACTCTTACCTGTTACTGGGCTTCCCAGATGGCTCAGTGGTAAAGAATGTCCACCTGCCAATGAAAGATATACCAGAAACGTGGGTTCCATCCCTGGGTCAGGAAGATCCCCTGGAGGAGGAAATGGCAACCCACTCCAGGATTCTTGCCTGAGAAATCCCATGGATGGAGGAGCCTGGTGGGCCACAGTCCATACGGTCGCAGAGAGTCAGACATGACTGAGCCGCTAAGCACAGGCACACCTCTGACTGGTTGGAAGCTCCTTGGCAGTGGGAATCCCACCCGCTCCACTGTTTCCCTCTCCTGCTCTTCACAGCCCTTGGGGTCTCTCCCTTCAAGGCTGACCCAGAAGACCCAGCCTGCCTGCCCTTGGGGGTGTGTGAGGAGGGGACAGCTGGCTCCACCACCAGCAGCAAACAGGCCCGCGTCTCTTCCAGAGGGCCTGTTATCTCTCCCTCTTATCTGACTCCAGCTAAGGGGGGGCCCCCATAAATTGGGGGCTTGGCTGTGCTGCCGTCTGGCTCCAGACTGTCCTCCTCTTCCATTTCCAAGAGAGCATCTTCCCCAAGATTTGGGTACATGAGAGTGAGATAACAGAGCAGCAAGGAGAGGCAGGGGCAGCATTCAGAGAAGGCCGGAGCAAGAGCCCACTCCCAGGTCCCTCATGTTCCCGGGCAAGAACGCTCTGCTCCTATGTGTTGTCACGAATGGACGAGGATGGAGGAACCCATGCTCTGCAGGTCTCTCCCTCCTGGTCTTTCCAGGGCAGCATTTAGCTCCGTGGGAAGAGGGAGGGCCTGGGCTGAGATGGAATTCTCAGGCATTTCCTGTGGCCCAAGTGACCCTCAACTCTTCCCCAGCCAGAAGCCCACCCTGCCAAGTATGTACCCTCCCACTCTCTCCTGACCGTAAACCCCCTTCCCTCTCCCTGCCTCCCACCCCACAGCCGCCTTGCCTAGGCTAGCCTGTCTCAGAAGCTTGGCAGCCTGGGGAGGGGTAGGCAGAGGCACAAAGGAACGGGTGTTCTTCTCCCCAGCACTGCCCCTCCCCTGGGCTCCAGGAGCTGAGGGTTTCCTTGTCTCATCTCTGGAGCAAGGCCCCAAGCCCAGCCCTGCCTGGCCCCACTCCGGACATTCTTGGGAGTGTGTTTCCCTGGAAACTGGGTGGCTCGGGGTGCAAGTGCTATCTCTGTGTGTCTGTGTGACTGGAGTGTGTTTATGTGTCTCCGGATGTGTTTGTGACTCTGGACTTGTATATCTCTGTGTTTGTGTCTTTCCCTGTGTTTACGGATCACAGTGTTCAAGTAGGGGGCAGGGTGAACTCAGGGCTGGTGGTACCAAACCGTCCACTGGTGTGCTCCTGTGAAGACAGGAGCACTCACTGACCACCGGACTATCTGTGGGCATATGTGCAAGAGAACCATTTTCCCTGTCTTGTTCCCTGATCCAGCCTTGGTGCGGGGGGACCCCCTCTTTGAAAAACCAGAGGACTACCCTAGAAATAACACGGAGCCCTCTCTGGCTGGGCCGGTCCTTGGCTGCATCATTCTGGGCACTGTGCCCAGCCATAGGCAACTTGGAGAGGCACACGTCATAATGAGGAGAGTGGCAGTGACAGGCTCTTCGAGCAGGAATATGCCTGGGCCAGGGGCGGGGTGGAGGGGAAGCTGGCAGAAAACAGATGCCAACGACAACTTGAGCAAAAGCTATGGCATGGGGCCCTGATGGGAGGGAACCGGGAAGATCCTGCTTCCAGTCTTGTCCCCAGGTACCTTGGGACATCCCAGGCGGCCCTCTCTGTACAGAGCAAGAGGTGGATGGAGCTGGGAAGAGGACTAAGGAAATGAGGAGGAATCTCAATCTGGGTCAAGGCTGCCCCACCCTGAGACCACAGTGCCAGACCACATGAAAGATCCGGGAGGAGACCCAGTAGGGAAGGACCCAGAAAGCCACGCAGCTCGGGGCCCAGGCTGTCTAGACAGAAGGTCCCCTACCCTCTCGGAGCCATTCACTGCCAGCCCCTGCCTCTGAGCCTCCTCCGAGTCTCCTTCTCTCCCCAGGCCCCTTGCTGGTGGGTAGGGGCTTCTGGGAGGGCCAGTCGGGAGGCTCCTTGGAATGCGGCTGGAGCCAGGATTCCTGAGTAATACAGCTGCCTCCCTCTGGGATCCAGGACGATGGACCGCTTCCTCTTCCACCCACCTGTCAGTTAGCCCTTCTGTGAAATGGGAGGGAAGCCTCGACTGTCTTCAATGATGAGACTGATAAAGATCTCGACTGATAAAGCTCAAAGGAAGGAGAGAAAAAGCAAAAGCTCCCAGCTCCCCACTTGTGTGCGCCTGCCTGCTGCCCTGCTTCTCCCTGGCAGTGTCCTCTGGGTCTGTCTGGGTCTGTCCAGCTGGCTGTCACAGTTTCCAGACCGATGAATCACATTTCCTGAGGAGGTTTTTTTAAGCCTCCCCCTATTTTGCATTTGACCCTATATGGTTTTCCTTTTTCCTTCAGAAGGGGAATGAGCTGCCTGTGCACATGTGAGTGTGTGCATGCGTGTACATGCATGCGTGCGTGTGTGTGTGTATGTGTATGTGTAGTATGGCAGTGTGGGTAGGTGTTCATCGAGGGTGGAAAAATTGTTTGATTGTTTCTCTAAGGAGGTTGACTTTTTTTTTAGTTATGGAAGGAAATGGCTTTTTAAAAATATTTCTTTATAGGGACCTCCCTTGTGGTCTGGTGGCTAAAACTTTGTGCAGGGGTCTTGGGTTTTATCCCTGGTCAGGGAACTAGATCCGGCGTGCTGCTACTAACACCTGGTGCAGTCAAATAAATAAATAAAAATATTTATTTATGTGGCTACTAATGGCAACCCACTCCAGTACTCTTGCCTGGAAAATCCCATGGACGGAGAAGCCTGGTAGCCTACAGTCCATGGGGTCGCAAAGAGTCGGACACGACTGAGTGACTGACTTCACTTCACTTTCACTCCACGTCTTAGTTGCTGCATGCGGAAGCTTGCACCCATTAACTGGGGTGTCTGTGTGATTCAGAGCCTGCACAGTTGAGTGGTGTCTGGCTGGGCAGGTGTTTGTGTGTATTTGAGAGAAGTGTGTGGGGCTGTGTGAGCTCTGAGCGTACAGAGGACGTCTGAGAGAACACAGCATGTGCCTTAAGGTTCTGGTGTCCAGAGGCCAGGAATGTGCAGGTCCTGGAATGTGAGGAATTTTCTGGGACTGAGGCTGGGTGGTGAGTACCTGCCTGGCCCAGAACCTCAGCATGGTCCCAGGGGCTCCAGAGGTGGGTGGCACTCTTTCCAGATGGGAAGGTACCTCCTTGGAGTGGGCCAGCTCTACTGGAGCTCTTTGCACACTTGGTTGTGGTTGGGAAGGGGTGAGTTGGCTTCTGGAGCCCAAGGAAATAGGCTAGCTTGGAAGAGCCAGTGCCCGGGTCCAGTTTGGGTCATGGGGTAAGGTGAACTGCTGGGAGTGTGGGGAGTGGGAGCCAGAGGGGCAGAGGAAGAGGTGTATAGTGTGGAGACAGGATCTAGACTCAAGACTGTTCACAGAGCCCTGCCTCATCCTGAACTCCCACTTGTCACAGTAGCAGACTGAGGGCCAGAGCTGGACCCAGTGACCTGGCTGGATTCCTGGGACTTTCACTCTTCTCTCTAATATATTGTGTACCCCATGGTCTGCAGCATGCCAGAATTCCCTGTCCTTCACTATCTCCTGGAGTCTGCTCAAACTCATGTCCATCCAGTCGGTGAGCCATCCAGCCATCTCATCATCTGTTGCCCCCTTCTCCTCCTGCCCTCCATCTTTCCCAGCATCGGGGTCTTTTCCAGGGAGTCAGCTCTTCACATCAGGTGGTCAGAGTACCCGAGCTTCAGCATCAGTCCTCCCACTGGGTATTCAGGGTTGATTTCCTTTAGGCCTGACTGGCTTGCGGCTTCTAATACATGGAGCCGTGGAATGTCAGAGCTTAACCTCTGCTGTCACGGAGGCCAGCCTGCCCACGCTGACCTGGGGGCTGGCCTGGCCCCTGCCCGGCGTCTGGTGACTTCTCACCGCAGAGGGCTCTTAGTGAGACCCCCGCTTCTCCTCACTTCTGCCTCCTGGCTGCTCACCCTCTGGCCTCTGTGTCTGTCCCTCCCGTTTCCTTCTCTCTGTCCTCCCGCGCGAACGCTTCCTCCCCGCCGCACTTCTGCCCCTGCCCCGGGCTGCGGGACCCCGGGCGGGCTCGGTCGGCGCGTCCCCGCCGCGCCCCGCCCCGCGCCCTCCATCCCGCTCCCCTCCGCTCCTCCATCACTTCCTCTTCCCCTCCTCCTCTCCTTTGTCCCTCCCTCCTGGCTCCCTTCCCCCGCCGCCGGTGGCCGGCCCGCCCCTCCCCGGGCATTGGTGGCTGCTCGCCGCCTCGCTGCCTCGCCGCTCCGAGCCGGGAGCCGGCGGCGGGAGGTCGGCCCGCCCCCTCAAAGGCCCGGGGCGGGCCGGGGACCTGCAGGGCCGGGCCAGCGGGGGCGAGCCGTGCGGAGGTCCGAATTCGGTGGTGAGTCCTCAGTCCCCCGGCCGCCGCAGCCCCGGCAGCCCGGCGCGGAGACGCTTGGACTGGGAGGGGCGTGAAGGGGGTGGGGAGGCCTGCCTGGAGCGGGATCGGGTCCCCGGCCGCACTTTGGGAGCCTGAGGCTGCGAGACTCGGGTGTGTGTATGAGAGAGAGAGAGCCCTTAACATATCCAAGTGGGGCGTCTGGGTTCGGGGCCACTCCTCAGCGGGGTAGAATTCATCTTTCCCAACCCGCGCTCGGTGGTCCCCTCCGTGGGACCTGCCTCTCCACGGGGTAGAGGGTTCCAGGTTAGGACTAGGGGAGCCTGGCTTATGGCGAAGAGGGGTCTCTGATGGAAGGAGCCAAAGGCCTTTCTCCCGTCTTCCCCACACCCAGCCTCCTTTCGGCCAGTTCATTCTGTTTGTGTGGCCAGCAGGGCAGTTGACTGTCGTTCTGAGTGTGTGAGCCTGCTTGTCTCTGGGTGAGTCTGTGTGTTTCTGAGTGTGTAGGTGTGTTTGTGTGCAGCGTGCATCTCTCAGAGAAAGGACCCACCCTCTCCTTGGCCCCGTTTTTTCCCCTCCAGATGTGCAGCTCCTTTACCCACCTGCACACAGCTGGGCCTTGAGCCCCTGTGGGGGGGGGGACAGGAACGCAACTTTGCCTGGATGAGGAGGGGTTCTGGGGTTTCCTGCGTGGGCTGACCTTTGGCGGTGCGGGGGCAGGAGTGAGCAGAGAGGAGGTTTCTTCCCAGAAACAGGCTGGCCAGGCCCCTGGAGGCACGGGACAAGAGTAGGGGCAATGCCTGGGGCCCCTGAGTGCAAATAGAAAGTTAATTTGGGCAGGAGCTGGGCTACAATCAGTCCTGCTGCCCTCCTGCCCGCTCTATTAATACAGAACCAGCTCTGCTGCCTGGCATCACCTATTTATAGCCCGGGAGGCAGCATGGCCACACCCCTTGTATAGAGGAGGGTGAGGGGCAGAGGAGGGGACAGGGGGCTCACAGCTAGAGGAGCCAGAGCTGAGGGTCCCTACCTGCCTACAGCCTCCTTGGGTGGGCCTGGCGCTGATGGGCTGGAATCTACCCAGACTCCCCAGTCCTTCCCAGTCTGGACTGTGTGGTCAGGCTCCTGAGCTGCCCCCCTCTGCCCCCCCCCACCAGTCAACCTAGGGTTGAGTAGGTCTGTCTAGACCCTGCGAACTCATCATTAATTAGCTTGTTAAATGGCTGGAAGGAGGGGGATGGGAATGGCAGGGTTCTGTCTGAAACAGCTGTGGTTGTAATTAGGTGGACGGTGTGGCTGGCTAATATTTATTCCGGTTATAATTACTCTGTGATCAGCTCCTCTGATTGGTGGCTTGGCAGGGAAGGCTCCCTCCTTTCCTAACCACCCATCAGCCTTTAGAATTGTTTGTGCCCGCCTGCCTGGGAGGGCCTGTGGGTATACCAATGTAGTGGGTGGTTTTGTCTACTATGTTATCTGCTGTGGGCTTCTCAGGCTGCCAGCCCCCCATCCATGGCAATACCCAGGGTGCCCCCCCAACAGACTGCTGAGCTTCTCAGTGGGGGGCCCGCCAAGGTACCCCACGTGGCCCGGGATGCCCCATGCCCCTGTGGCCTGCCTGAGTTGAACTGTCTCAGCGTCCAGGAATGTAGAATTCCTTGCCAGTCTTAGCTCAGACTGGCATGAAGCTTGGGGTGCCAGGTGGCAGCAGATTGGGTAGATAGGAGCCTGGGGCCAGGGGCCAAGGATGTGGACAGATTGGAAGGGTGGGTGGTAGAGAGCACAGGACTCTGGTTTCTCCCAGTGGAGCATCTTCGCTCCAGCCCCTGGTGTGGCGGGAAGAGGAATTCTGCCAGACAGGCTTAGGTGCTGTGGGCACACCTGTCACCGCGCACACTCCCAGTGCCCCTGGCTATGTTTTCTGACTCCCCTATGCCCTCCCCCTTCTGTGCACTCGCACTTCCTGGGCAGGACTGGGCTTGTGTCTACTGCCTGGGAATGTGCTTGACTGAGGCTCGGCCCATTGGCCTAGGCTTGGCTACACTGCAGGAGAGTCCATGGAGTGGGACAATGTCAGGCCACAGAATGCTTCGACAGAGAGAAAGAGGGTAGCAGTCGCTCTCGACGGTCAGAAAGGGTGGCCGGGGCATCTGACGGATCCATGGTGTGTTTCCCCATCTCCTATCTCAGAGCTTGTTTGTGATCCTGGAAGTTGCTGCCTCTCGAACTGACCCTTCCACCCAAGGGGCAGATAGATGGATCACGAGTCCAGGTTGGGTGGGGGCACGTGGGGGTCTGTGTTCTCTGGAGAACCTTCTCCATTGACAGAGTACTGGCATACACTGTCTCTTTTAACTCTGCAAGGCAGTGGTATTGTCCTCATTTTTCTGCTGAGAGAATTAGACTCAGGGAGGTGAAATGACTTTCCCCAGATCTCACAGGTGGTAATGAAGAACATTTAGGACTAGGACTTACAAGCCAGTGCTCTTTCCATTCGGCCATGTGCTGAGGGGCCATGTGCTGTGGAGCCGAGCTGGGGCCTCAGGCACGGGCTGAGTCAGGGGTGGACCATGTGGCCGCTGGGAGTGCAGGTGGGGATGGCTCTTCGGAGCCTGGGGTGAGCCTGCTGGTGCTGCGGGTGGAAGGCTGCCTCAGCCCTGCTCTGCCCTGCCCCTCTGAACGTGTGCTTTCTCTGCAGGCTGCATGTTGTGCCTGGGTCAGTCCACCTTCCTCCGCTTTAACCACCCAGCTGAAGCCAAGTGGATGAAGAGCATGATCCCGGCAGGGGGCCGGGCCCCTGGCCCCCACTACGGTCCTGGCCCAGGTGGGTATCCAGTTGGGGCAGGTGGCTGGTTTGATGGCACCCCGTGGACAGTCCTCCCCCTTGCCCACTCCAGCCATACTTATAGTGTCAGGGTGGGACAATACTCATGATCTGGGCTTGCTGCCACCTGCCATGGGCCACTGGGGGAGAGTGCCAGGCAGTCTGGCCACGGGGAGAGATCCAAGAAGTGCTGCTTGGCTGGAACTAGGGAGAATCATGTGCCTGAGGGATGGGGGTGCTCTGCCAGCCTGTGTCCCACTGCCCTGGACGGTGCCACCTCAGTGTCCGGGACCCTGACCCTCTTATGTCACCACCAGGGATCCTCACCCTTGAGGGTGGCCTGAGGGGGCAGAAGGAAGCATCAGACTGAGATGCTGTAAGCTCGAGGCGGGGGGAGCCCACCTGCTTGTGATCGTGTCTTTGGGCTCTGCCCTGCCCCCAGGCCATGCCAGGCCATGCCAGCTGATGACTCAGTGGGGCAGCTGCACTTTCTGTGTGAATTACTGATCCCTAGAGGAGAGTGGGTGATTGTCCCAGGGAACCAGCACAGCCCCCGCCTCAGCCCAGCTGCCTTGGGGGTGGGGTGCAGACCAGGAGGCTGCCCATAGGCCTGCCACCCCAGACTTTGCACAGGCATTCAGATGGCTGTAGGGTGACAGCGGTCATCATGGTACTGGGACAGGTGGACGTGTGTGTCAGGTGCATCGAGTGGGCTGGCATCAGTGGTTTCAATGGATTGCCTGGGGATCTGAGGAAAGATGGGTGGTCACTGGGATCACCAGTATCCATGGCAACCCCTCTGCCTTGGTCCCACACAGTCCCCATAATTTTGGACCAGACTCAGGCTTACAGAGGCTTTCCCTTCTCCTCTGCCTCCTGTATACTAGGCTCTTGGGAGCTCAGAAGCCTGGGTTTCCAGTCCACTCCCTGGGTAGCTCTACCCTGCCTTAAATTGTCATGCCACTCTCTCAGCTGTTTGGGGTAGTGGTTCCAGAGACTCCTGGTTGGTTGACGAGGGCTGGGGCAGGGCAAAAGCAGGCTCCTGCTGGCGTGGCTTAATGGTCTAATTGGAGGCCCTGAGCTGCACCTAGTTGCTAGCCAGCCTGGCTTTCAGGAACTGGCCTTCAGGGCCAGGCCCCTCCCTTGCCTCTGATTGGATAAAGTGCTGCTGCACACAGTGTCACCCAGCCCTGGAGGCTATGTGTGTGTTTTTTTTCCTGGGTCTCTGCTGCGTGTTGGGAGGCGCTAATGTCCTAATAAATGGCGACCCCTTGGAACTTCTGGCCTGCTCCCCAGCATGCCCCCCTGCTCTTTGTAAAATGCGTGCCTGCCCTTTCTGAAGGAGAGGTCAAGGAGGTTGGGGAAACCAAGGCAGGGAGGAACCTAGAAGTGCCCAGCACTGTTGCCAGCTCTGCCCTAAGTCATAAAATATTAGAGCCAGAGGAGCATTCTTCCTATGCAGAAGGCAAAACCAAGAGCAGGCGACTTGGGGAAGGTGGTGCAGCAGCAGGTCAGTGGCAGAGCTGGCCCCAGGACTGAGACCTTCCAGGGCCCTGGCAGCCCCGCCCTGCTAGCAGGAGGTGGGGAGCGCCGGCTCTTGTGTCTATGCAGGTCCCTAGGGCCCAGGAGGTGAAGATGGGGCCTGAGGCTGTTTGCATTTCCCTTCACAGAATCCGAAAGCCTGGTGAACGGGAACCACACCCCTCAGCCTGCAACCCGGGGACCCTCCGCCTGTGGCAGCCACAGTTCCCTCGTGAGCTCTATTGAGAAGGACCTGCAGGAAATCATGGACTCACTGGTGCTAGAGGAGCCTGGAGCTGCTGGCAAGAAGCCTGCCGCCACGTCTCCACTGTCACCAATGGCCAATGGCGGGCGCTACCTGCTGTCCCCCCCAACCAGCCCCGGCGCCATGTCTGTGGGCTCCAGTTATGAGAACACCTCTCCGGCCTTCTCTCCACTCTCCTCGCCAGCCAGCAGTGGGAGCTGTGCCAGCCACTCACCCAGCGGGCAGGAACCAGCACCTTCCCTGCCCCCCCTGGTGCCTGCCCGGTCCTCCAGCTACCATCTGGCCCTGCAGCCCCCACAGTCCCGACCGAGCAGTGCTCGCCCCTCCGAGAGCCCCCGGCTGGGCAGGAAGGGGGGTCACGAGAGGCCTCCCAGCCCTGGTCTCCGAGGTCTGCTGACAGACAGCCCTGCAGCTACCGTCCTGGCTGAGGCCCGCAGAGCCACCGAGAGCCCCCGGCCGGGTGGGCAGCTGCCCGTGGTGGCAATCAGCCTGAGTGAATACCCTGCTTCCAGTGCCCGGGGCCCGCCCACCAGCATTCCCAGCAGCCCCAAGTTCCAGCCGCCAGTCCCTGCACCCCGAAACAAGATTGGCACGCTCCAGGACCGCCCTCCCAGCCCTTTCCGGGAGCCGCCAGGTGCTGAGCGGGTGCTGACCACCAGCCCCTCACGCCAGCTGGTGGGCCGAACATTTTCGGATGGCTCAGCCACCCGCACACTGCAGCCTCCAGAGAGCCCCCGCCTTTGCCGGCGGGGCCTGGATAGCATGAGAGAACTGCCTCCCTTGAGCCCATCTCTGTCCCGTAGGGCTCTCTCCCCCATGCCTGCCCGGACCGCGCCAGATCCCAAACTAACCAGGGACGTGGCAGAGAGCCCCCGCTCCCGGCGCTGGGCAGCCCACGGGGCTTCACCGGAGGACTTCTCCCTGACACTGGGGGCCCGGGGCCGTAGGACACGGAGCCCCTCTCCCACACTCGGGGAGTCCCTAGCACCCCGCAAGGGCAGCTTCAGCGGCAGACTGAGCCCAGCTTACAGTCTGGGCTCCTTGACAGGGGCTTCACCCCGCCAGAGCCCCCGCGCCCAGAGGAAGCTCTCCAGCGGGGACCTGCGGGTGCCCGTCACCCGGGAGCGGAAAAACAGCATCACGGAGATCAGTGACAATGAGGATGACCTCCTGGAGTACCACCGGCGGCAGCGCCAAGAGCGGCTTCGGGAGCAGGAGATGGAGAGGCTGGTGAGCCATGCCAGGGAGGCTGCGGGCATCACGACAGGCGCTCTGCCAGGGTGTGGGCGGGCCAGCTGGCAAGGAGGGAGGGGCGCGTGGACAGAGCCTGGGCTTCCCAGGCTTCTCCACTTCCAGGGTACACCACAGTGACCTGGATGCCAAGGCTCTGGTCCCCTGAAGCCCTTCCTTTGAAGTCTCTTAAGGCCTTATTTCAAATGCATGCTAACTTTGCATTTATTCTGTAACACAGTGTTTGTTTTCATGTATAAATTAACATTTCACATGATTTATTGGAATACAGGGAAGCTCTAGGAAAACACACCATGTTTAGGATGAGGCTTGTACCTGTGTTTGAGAACACAGGGCTTAATGATTAGAAGGTTGAAGCCCAGAGAGGGGAGTGGATTTGTTCAAGGTCACACAGCACATCCTGGCAGAACTGGACTTGAACTCATACCTCCTGTCTTTCTCTCCTGTCTTCTCCAGGCTTTTCTTTAAAAAAGCCTCTGGTCCTTCTTTCTTGCTTCCCTTTGTTGTTGTGGTTGTTTAGTCGCTCAGTCAGGTCTGACTCTTTATGAGCCCATGGACTGTAGCCCGCCAGACTACCTGTCCATGGAATTTTCCAGGCAAAAATACTGGAGTGGGTTGCCATTTGTTTCTCTTTGGCCTCTCTCAATGGGTGGGAGCTGCTCACCTTGGCCTATGCAGGATCATCTGGAGATGGGGGGAGAAGGAGAAAACACGACAGGCAGCCCCGGCTGATCTGTGACCAGCCTGTGTGATAGTAATTGTGTGTGTGTGCACGTGCGCACACACGCACGCATGGGTGTATTTGGGGGCCGGGTGTGGCTCTGGGCAGCTGTCCTGGAGATGGCATCTGAGCTGGGTGGGGGCTGGGATTCCCCAGATAGCGCAGGGAGGTTGGGGGCTCTGGCTGGTGTCTATACCCTGGAGCACATACACAGGGAAATAGCTTCTGCCTCTTTCCCTTGTGAGCAGGAAAGCAGGGTCCCTGGGGGCCCTGGGACCCAAGGATTGGTTTAAGGAGGAGAGTCAGAACAGAGGAGGTTTGTCTGGAGCCCTTTTGGAAGGAGGAGGCTGGGACAGCTTTGGGTGAGGTGAGGGTGTGAGACAGTGTGTGTGTATTGGGGGGCGGTTGGGGAAGGACGAGGCAGGGCCCCCCAGTCTCTTCCACGGCTGTATCTTCTATGTTTTTGCTTTGGCCTAGACAAGAATGCTTGGCCCGCCCTGGGGTCTCATCCTGGAGGGGGGACAATGAACCTGGCGCAGGCAGAGTGGTGGGCCCAGCCTCCCTCAACTCTACTCAGCCTTCCCACCACCGCCCCCACCCCACCCCCAGGTGCCTCACCAGCCCTGACCTGCCCCACCTGCCACTTTAAATCTCAGAGGCTGCCTGCCCTGCTCCTCCCACCTCAACCAGGCTGCTTATCTGTGTCCTGGGGCAGGGGCGGGGGCACTGGCCCAGCCTCCTGGGTGCTGCGACTCTGTTCCTGGTTTTGGTGCCATGGAACTGGGCAAGCAGCAGGAAGGAAGCTGGGTAAGAGCCTGGGGGTGGGGGGTCCTGACCAAACCGTGGTGAGAGACACCAGAGGTGGTAGGATGCCAGGGAGTCAAGGGAGCCTGGCGGGGAGGCTCCACATCTGGGGTGTAATGAGTGGGAGCCGGGGCATGCCTGTACTGTCCTGTCTTCACCTCCAAGGCCCCTGGGAGGTGTCTGGGTGGGCTCTGTACAGGGACGGGGCGGATGGAGTGGCTGGGCCAGGGACCTGCTATGCCGGCGGAGAGCTGAGAGCTGCCAGCAGGTGACGGGGAGCTGAGAAGGCAGTGAGGACCGCGGCTCAGGCCTCTGGGGCAGGGTGAGCCGGTGTCAGGTCGCCGTGGGCCCCCGAGTCTGTGTTCCGGCCCCGTCTGTGTGGGCGCCCACCCGTCTGTGTGCTAGGCTGTGTTTATCTGAGTAAGTGTGTGCCAGTGTGCATCCGTGCGTGTCAGGGCTGGTGTCTGTGTGTGCCTGCCTGTTACTGCCGGCCGGGGCTCGTGCTGTGTCCTCGTGTGTCAGCGCTGCTGTGCTGGGGTGTCTCTGGGGGTCCCCGTGTCAGCGTGAGCACCTGAAGTGTTTATCTGTATTCTCACCGTGGCCTTTAGTGAGAATGTGCTCACCAGCGTGCGCTCCTGAGTGTGTCTCTCTGTCCACGGGGACACCCACCTTGGGACAGGATGAGAAGGGAGAGGAGACAGGAAGGCAGGAGGCGCTGGTCACCTGGGCAGGGGGCACACAGCCTGGCTCCCCCCGCCTGCCTCGGGGGCACCCGCCCTCCCTCTGTCTGCCTCCCCAGACCTCGGGGCCAGGGCCCTCCTGACTTGATTCTGAGTCCGAGCCCCTGGCGTCCGCGTCCTTGCTCCTGACAAGATGCCAGACCTGGGTCTAGGCAGCCTCCTGGCCCCAGGACCGTCTGCTCACGCCTGCTCTGCCCGCCCTTCCAGGAACGCCAGCGCCTGGAGACCATCCTGAACCTGTGCGCCGAGTACAGCCGGGCGGATGGGGAACCCGAGGCCGGGGAGCTGCCCAGCATAGGGGAGGCGGCCGCAGCCCTGGCCCTGGCCAGCCGGAGGCCCTCACGAGGCCTCGCGGTGGGCCCTGGGGCCCCGGGCCGCGGCAGCGAGGAGCCTGGAGGTGCCACCCAGCGCCTGTGGGAGAGTGTGGAGCGCTCGGACGAGGAGAATCTCAAGGAGGAATGCAGTAGCACTGAGAGCACCCAGCAGGAGGTGGGAGCCAGCCGGCCGGGCGCGGGCTGGGCGCGGGGCCGGGGGCCGGGGCCCGGGGCCAAGCCGGCAGGCATGGGTGGGTACCTCGCCCTGCGAGTGGGCAGTAACAGAAGTTTGGGACACCCAGGAATGAGAGGTGTAGAAATGAGGAGGCAAGGAACAGGGGGAGGTGCTGATGAGTTTCCCAAGCTATAAATATGCTTTATGACCTACCTTTTCCTCGGGGCCCCACCCAGGCCTGGCTCTCGACAGTGAGTCGTTATTCCTTGCAGCGGAGAGCCGTATTGCTCTCCGTGTAGGGAGGGGAATTTCCTCCTCTCAGTCCAGCTGCTCCTTCTGAGTGTCCTGAGACACAGCGATCCATTTTCTTAGTCTCGTCCTGGGAGGCTCTAGGCTCCCCCAAGCTGATGGCCCCCCTCCCCTCCAGCACGAGGATGCCCCCAGCGCCAAGCTCCAGGGAGAGGTGCTGGCCCTAGAAGAGGAGCGGGCTCAGGTGCTGGGGAGAATAGAGCAGCTCAAAGTCCGGGTGAAGGAGCTGGAACAGCAGCTGCAGGAGTCAGCCCGAGAGGTGAGAGCAAGGGCCCTGGGCAGGACTCCTCCCAGGCTTGGTGATCACCCCAAGCGTGGCCTGAGCTGCCCTGAGTGGCCTTGACATGGACCCTGCTGTGGCCTGCAGGCTGAAATGGAGCGGGCGCTGCTGCAGGGGGAGAGGGAGGCTGAGCGGGCGCTGCTGCAGAAAGAGCAGAAGGCGGTGGACCAGCTACAGGAGAAGCTGATGACCTTGGAGACGAGCATCCAGAAGGAGAGGGACAAGGTAACCCACAACCTGGCCCAGCTTTGCTGGGAGCCAGCGGCCTGGGAGAGGAGGAGAAGTGCCCTTCACCCCTTACCTCATCATCCATCCCACAGGGGCAGGGGGCCTTGTCCTCGGTGGAAAGTACCAACGTGGAGGGTGCTGCCAGGGTCTGGGCTGGTGTCTGGGGTCTCCTCTGCCTGGGTTTCTGTTCTCCCTCTGGGTGCCTGGGCGCCTGCTGTTCTGGGCCCTCCGTGCCCCTTCTTGGAAGTGTCGAAGCCCCTTCTTGGGTGGTGAGCACTGCCCAGGGGACCGGTGCTGGGGAGTGATTCAGGTCCAGTTCCTGCATTGGAGGACATCCCCTCCAAGCAGGGCTCTGGGACTAAGGACGTGAACTTTGGGAGATGGCTCTCGAGTCTCTGCTTCCCCTGAGCCTTCAGGATCTGCAGCCTCCCATCCCAGGGGGTCCCAGCTCCTGCCCCTGCCCCTGCCCCTTTCAGATTTCCTGCCAGCCTGCAGGGGCCGCTCCATCCCACAGGGGCCATACCAGCCACTCCCAAGATGCCCAACAACGTACCAAAGCTCCGAAGTGGAGAGGGGCCACCTCTTTCTGGACTTGACAGTATTTTTCCAAGAATTAAATTTTCCTTCTGGATTTTTTGGAGAGTGTCTTCCTCCTGCCCCTCAATTTTGAAGCTCTTAAAAATTATTTGACCCGGCCATCCTTTTTTAATTTTTTTATTTTTTGAGCTTTGGCTCTGGCCCCCAAAACCACACTCCCAAATTCTGTGCCAAATTAACTCCACGCTTACCAACCAGGCCTGCACTAACGCCCTCTCTAATCACTGTCCTGGGCTCTCCGCATGCCCCTAACTGCCAGTACCACCCACCCAGGCAGGGCTGAGCCGTGCCTGCTTTTGCACTAACTCCATGGGCACCTGTGTGCCCTTGGCCTCTCCCGTCTAATGTTGCCTCCTTCCTTTCTTGGTGTGGGACCCCAGGGTTTTGATCAGAAAGGAACGGACAGCGGGTGCAGCTGAATTTTCTCAAGGGGGCATTGGCAGGAGGGGTCCAAGATTGGGGGAGGTTGGCTTGGCTGAGGAGCCTCTCAGCCTGAAGGCCTCCTCTCAGTTGGAAAAGCCAGGGTGTGGCCTCCATAGCCTGTTGGCAATTTCCTGCACAGGGGAGAGGCAGGCTGAGTTCCAGCCATCGTCTGCCTTCCCTCCTGAGCACAGGGGTAAGGAGGTCAGTGGTGGTGGCATGGCCGGGGAGGGCGTGGACAGGGGCTCTCTGCCACCCAGTGGCTACCCTTCTGAGTTTTCCTCTGGGGCTTCCCAATTGCAGATACTCCAACCAGAGGGTGGGAAGAAGGGGTAGGCCTTTTCCCTATAGGGCATCGTAGGCTGAGTCCAAGCCTGGGGAAGTGCTTGGATCTCAGAAACTGGCCTGATCATGTCCCCCTCTCCTGGATGGGGATGGGGACCTCATGGGACGGAGGGGTGGGTAGAGGAAACATGAGGACTTCGGGGTGATGATGCTCAGCATTTTAGCAGGAACCTACCTAGCCTCATTTCTCATTGCACTGGCATTGCCTGCAGGTGTGGACTTTGTCTTCTCTCTGGGCCCAATTATTGAGGTGGTGGTGGTGATGGAGATAGATGGTGGTGGCCATGTGATGGCAATGGGGAAGGTTCCCTCAGCAGCGCCCCCCTCCTCGCCCCGCCCCCGCCCCAGCCCTTGGCCCCACTCTGGCTTTGGAATCTGTAATCACAGTCTCTTCTCTGCCTGACCTTCAGAGGGGGTGACTCACCAGACCCCCCTTCATCCCCCTTCCCGCCCTCAGAGGTGTCATCTCACCCCAGACAGAGCCATCCACCTCCTCTCTGTACCCACTCCTGGGGCTCCTATTACCATGGCGACGGCCGAACTAATTGCAACCCTTATCCTGCTGAAGTTCAGGCTGCAGTGCCAGCACCCCACCCCCACCCTGGGCAGGAGTTGGGGAGGCCAAGGGGGTTGGGTTGGGGTCCCCTCCGCTGCACTGCCCTAGCTTTAACATCCTCGGCTCGCAATTCACACCCAACCCCTGGATTTAACCTTCACCAATTCTACCTTTTTTTTCCAGGGCTAAATTTTGGTCTCTGGGAAGTGGGAGAAGGGGTGGGGGTGGGGGGCGCAGGAGCTGGAGGCTCCGGGTTTGTGATGTGGAACCAGCTTTGGCTTTGAGCGGTTTGGAGAGAAAAGAGAGGGCCTCTTCGTAGGCCCCACCCCCCAAACCTCTCTAGTGAGGGGACTCCAAGAGACCAACATTTCTGCCCGGACCCACACCCTTGCTTCGGCCACCGTCGCCTGCACCTGAGTCCCGTCTCGCACCCCGGCTCCTCGCCTTCCCCAGTCGGCACCTCCTCCTCCTCCTCTTGGCTCTCTCCGGCCCTCTTCGGCCCTGCTGCTTGTACCCCCGCCGGCTCTGCTCCCGCCCGCTCGCCCCGCGCCCCGCCCCGCGCCGCCGCGGCCCCGGGCCGGAGTTGAGGAGTGTGTGTTCTGTTTCTCCCCTGTGCCCGCCCCCTCCGCCTCCGGCGACCAGGAGAGGGCGGAGCTGGCCGCGGGACGGAGGCACCTGGAGGCCCGCCAGGCGCTCTACGCCGAGCTCCAGACGCAGCTCGATAACTGCCCCGAGTCAGTGCGGGAACAGTTACTGGAGCAGCTGAGAAGGGTCAGTTTCACCAGCCCCCCTCCCCGCCCCCGAGGGCCGCCCGCCCGGAAGAGAGGAGCGGTGGGCCGGGAGCGCCCGGGCCCTGCAGTACCTGCCGGACGCCAGGGTCGGTGCTGTGGCTTGGAGGGGACAGGGAAGGATGGGGGGTTTGGGGATGGAGGTTCTCCTTTCTGCTGCTGCAGGCCGCGCTGCTCGGGAAAGCGGCAGGGCCAAGCGGAGGAAAGGGGGCAGGGTGGGGGCAGGGCCCCTCCTCCGTTTCCCCGGGTCCGGCCCCCAGAGCTCTCGCCTCTGTGGCCTGGCCTTCCAGGCGCAGAGTGGGATCGTGAGCACCACCCGACCCCCTTTGTCACTGTCATTCAAGGAAGCCGAGGCCCTGGAGACGGAGACGAAGCTCTTCGAGGACTTGGAGTTCCAGCAGCTGGAGCGGGAGAGCCGCGTGGAGGAGGAGCGCGAGCTGGCGGGCCAGGGGCTGCTCCGGAGCAAGGCTGAACTGCTCCGTAGCATCGCCAAGAGGAAGGTGCGCCCGCCCCATCCCTGGCAGTGCCGGCTCGACCTCACCTGGCTGAGCCTCGGTCTCTTCATCTGTGAAACAGGAACAGTAACAGGCTGTTGTGAGCATTAAAGGAGATGATGTATGTGGAAACAGCATAGGATGTGATCATAGTAAGCTCTGGAGGAACAACAATAGCCATTGTTTAGAAGCTGTGACACCCCGGTCCTCTAGTGGAAAGTGGATGGGGCTCACATTCGGAGCTGGGCACTGGCTGGGCCGGGAAGTGAGAGATAGAGATGGAGATGGAGGACGAGGAGGAGGGGGGTGAAGAGGAGGCTTGCCCCTTGTGGAGCTCTCCGTCCTATGGAAGTGCTGGGACACAGACCTGAGATCTGGATATTAGAGCCAGCCCGGGGTCCTAGAAAGGCATCACTTTGGTTCCAGCCACAGCTCAGGCCTGGCTCAGCTGAGCTGTGAAACAAGAGGATTGGGTATTGCATCTATTCTGGTCTAGTCTGATGCTTCAGACGCTATAAAATCCACTCCTGATCTCAACAAGACCTGGACATGGTGATGGGGTAAGGATGTATTAAGCAAGAGTTAGGAAGATGTGGGTGAGGAGAAGGGATCGGGTGGACCAGGTGTGTTTGCATACATATGTGTGCATGTGCCCTTTGCCAGGCTGGAAGGAGTAGGTGGGAGGTGAATGCAGTGAGACTGGAGAAGGGTGTCAAAAAGTGGGGCTTGATGGCTAGTCTGAGTTTAGTGGTAAGTGGGGGAGTCACTGAACTTCCCCCTGAATCCAGATCTGTTGCTTCTCTCCCTGAGCTGCTCTGCTTTACAAATACATTTACCTATCAGTGAAATGAGCATAAGGGCACCTGCCTCATAAGAGAGTTAAGTGAAGTAACACATGCAAAGCAAAGCATTTAGCAGTGTTCTTGGGTCCTGACAGGTTCTCTGTAAATGGCGGATCTTGCCCGATTACCACTTGGTCTGCTTCAGTCTGCTTGGATTGACCCCAGATTTAGTACAGCTCCCTTGTTCCCTCCCTTCTCTCCTATATCTTGCTCTTAATGGTGCTAGTTTAAGGCCTCCTCTTTCAGGAAGACCTCCTGGGATAAACACAGCTCATTTCCACTAGCCCCCATCCTTCTCTCTCACTTAGTATCTTTTCATTCCCTTTTAGCACTCGATTGTTGAGCTAGGCACTACACTAAGTCCTGTTGGGGATATGGAGACAGAAAAGACATAGAGCCTGTCCTTGGATCATACAGCTGGGGTGGGATCATACAGCTGGTGTGTTGAGAGATATATATTCATAGGTAGCAGTAATCCAAGGCAGAGAGTGATAGGGAATAATTTGAGCATAGAACAAGGAGCAAAGAAATTGAGTGATAATCAGGGGAGATGTTGGAGAGAAGATAGTGTTAGGTCTGGTCTTGGAGGAGAAGTAAGCTCCTGATTGGTAGAGAAGACAGGACAGCATTCCTGGCAAAAGGCACTGTATAAGAAAGGCCCGGGAGTGTACACCCGAACAGCTGATGGTACAACAGGGCCAAGCTGAGGGCACACCAAAGGCTTAGGGTGGGAGGGAGGCTGGAAAGTAGGTCCAGGTCCAGGAGCCCTTGAGTGCTGGCTGAGGGGTCTGTGCTTTATCCTGTGAGTAGTGAGGAGTCGCTGAAAGATTTTGAGAAGCGTGATCTACCCTTATTCATGGATTTAAAGAAAATTATTCAAGTAATATACATTCTGGGCTTTCCTGGTGACTCAGACATAAAGAATCTGCCTACAAGGCAGGAGATACAGGTTCGATTCCTGGGTCAGGAAGATCCCCTGGTGAAGGGGCTGGAAACCCACTCCATTATTCTTGCCTGGAGAATTCCATGGACAGAGGAGCCTGGCGGGCTACAGTCCATGGGGTCGCACAGAGTTGGACACGACTGAGCAACTAACACACAATATACATTCCCAAAAGTCTAGGAAATTCAGACAAGCAAACAAGCAAACCCTCTCAAAGGCCATTTTAGGAAGCTGTTTGTGGCAGTGTAGGGTGGATCAGAAAGGTGAGAGAGTGGAAACAAGGGGCTGGTGAAAGGTCGAGGCCGGGAAAGCAGAGGGCCTGGCTTGGCATGGTGCCAGTGGGTTGAGGGCACGGGGTCGGGTGGAGGACCATTCAGCATTTCCAGGATTCAGGACCTGTTGACTTTGAGGGGTGGGGGCATGAGGGGTTTGGGAACTTCAGTTCTGGCTGGTGTGCCTGGTGGCCCAGGGCTCCCTGGTTGAGGGGTGAGAGAAGGAGCTGACCACAGCAGCCTGTGTTTTCTGGGGGTGAGAGGCTGAGCGGAAGTGCTGGTTGATTCCCTTCACCCAAGCCCAGGGCCTCTGGGCAGGAGAGAGAGCCAGGCCTCACCTTGGGCTGCCTCACCCATTGTTCCCATCCTCTCTAGGAGCGCCTGGCGGTCCTGGACAGTCAGGCTGGGCAGATCCGGTCCCAGGCTGTGCAGGAGTCGGAACGCCTTGCCCGGGATAAGAATGCCGCCCTGCAGCTGCTGCAGAAGGTAGCCCCATCAGTCTGGGAGTGAGGGGGGAGGAGGGCCAGGGAGGGGCTGGGGGAGTGGGAGGTGAGTGCAGGGTGCTGGGTGGAGACTGGCCAACCCTGTGGGATCCCCCTTTATTTGGGGCTCCTTGCTTCATTCCCACTCCTGATTCTGCTGCTTTGGACTTGCAGGAGAAGGAGAAACTGGCTATGCTGGAAAGAAGATACCACTCGCTCACAGGTGGCCGGCCGTTCCCAAAGACCACGTCCACCCTCAAAGAGGTAACTTGGTTGGGTCAGCCCCAGCCTCATGAGCCCAAGGGTCTCCTGGGAGGCTCTGGAGAAACATGTGGCACCTTCGCCCCAGTAGCTGAGGTCTAGTGTAGGGACACTTTCCTGAACTGGAAAGATGGAGCAGGAATGGCCCTGAGCTCTGGGATCAGATCCTCCATGGCTACCAGCTGGCTGCCTTTCAGCTTCCTCTCTGGCTCCCAGGAGCCTGCTGATCTTAACATTTCGGGTGGGGAAGATGGCCGCTCAGGATGGGGCCGGGCAGACCCAACTTGAGGGGGAGTGTAGGGATCTCGGGGTCCTGATCTTGGAGCTCCCTGGGCTTCTGTCTAGAGCTGGGCCGTGGGCGCAGATGTGGGCATTGAGGCTCCTTCAGCCATTCTTCCCTGAGTCTTTGCACGCCTGGCATGTGAGGTCCCACCAGGACATGCCCGGTTTTCTGCCTCACTGCACAAGCAAGTTAGGCCTCAGGTGGGGTGGCTGGGCTGAGTGTGAGGGATGAGGCCCCTCACCTGTACCCTCTCTGTAGGCTGACCTGCTCATCTCTGAGTCCTCAGAGGTGGGGCTGGGGATGGCAGCTGTGGGCCCCTTCCCAGAGTCTTCTCAGGCTGGGGTCTTCTCTGTTCCCTTAACCCCACCTGCTTCCACTCAGCTCTGCCTCAAAGCGCAAGAGGTAATCACAGATCACTGCCTGTCTGCCTGCTTGATGAGCTTCTGCCCTCGACTCCTCCCACCGGCCCGGCTGAAGGGCAAGTGGCAGTAATCCTTTGTCTGGCCAGTGGTTCCATAGGTGCCTGGGCAGCTCATGCAAAAGTCAGAGTGTCAATTTGCATACAATTTGCATATATTCTGCATGCCATTCATCAGTTCCCACAACACACTGGACCTTCCAGCTCATTTCCCTGTTCTGTGACCTCTGGAGGACAGTCTGCCTCTGGAGCTAGACCAGGGTGGGCTCCCCTGGGTGGGGCAGGCTTAGGGTCCTGGGCTTTGATTCCGCATGCATTTTGGGTGCCTGCTGTGTCCTCCAGACCTGGACAAACTCAGGATTCTAAGGATATGCTCAGGGAATATGACAGTGCCTGTGTTTCCAACCCACGATCTACTGTGTGAGCATCTTTCCAAGTCCTAACCTTTGGGCAGTGGGCATGTTTATCTGCCTGGGCTTTTAGCCACTCCCTGCTCAGGTGCTCGTAGTGCCTCCACCCCCCCACCCTTCCAGCTCCTGGAGCTCCAGCAGGTGGGGTGTGAGAGGACCCATGGGAATGGTGTGGCTGGTGCTCAGTAGTGCATGTGTGTGCCCCACGGGGGATGCCCAAGGTGTTGGAGACAGAAGGGTTCTCTGGGAGCTGGGTCCTGATCCCTGGTGGGCTCATGACTTCTTCACCTGCCCCTCGCCAAGGGCAAACCCAGGAATGGGCGATCAGGGGGCCCATTCAGGGCCTATCCAGGCCCTGCAGCTGGCTGGATGTCAGGGCAGCCTCAAAGTGGAGGTCAAGAAGAGCCTTCCCTGGAAGTCCCAGTGGTCAGGACTCTCGCTGCTGAGGCCATGGGTTCAATCCCTGGTTGGGGAACTAATATCCCACAAGCTGTGAAGTGTGGCCAAAAAAAAAGAAAGCCTTCAGATAGTTCTGCCTGCCCTTTTCTGCCCTCCCTCCAGCCCCCCTGACAGCCCTCTGTGGCCACAGCGAGCTCCCCATCCCTGCCTTGGATTTTGTGTTGAATGGCGTGGAGTGTGGTGGCCGGTGCCTGGTGGAGTCCTGTTAACCTGTTCTCTGCCCGCCCCTTCCCTCGCACCGGGCGCCCTAGGAGTATGTGAGCCTGGCAGAGGTTCTCCACCTGTGCTCCCGCTTGGACCCCCATGCTTCTGCCACTTCCCCCAGCGCACTCGCTCAGCCCCTGCCCGACAGTGAGGTACCGGCCACCGAGTGAGCCACCTGTGCCCGTGGGCCTGCTCCTGGGTGCCCTGCATCACCCCGGGGTGTGGGGCAGGGGGTGGGCAGCAGGGTCTGTTCAGCAGTGACGGAGAAGGGCCGCTGGCGTAGGGGGGCTGGGAGCGGTTCCCGCTCTTGCGTTCTCAGCCCCTGAGGGCTCAAGGAGGGAAGGCCTTCTGCTCCAGCGTGAGGGCCTCCTGCTGAGAGGACCCTGGCTTTCCCGGGCTCTGCAGGCCTCCCCGGCTCCTACCCTTGGGCAGGGCCATTTCTTGGGTTCCAGTCCCATTAACCTCTTGTATTCCCTCCCGTGTCCGGCCTTTCCCCAAGTACGTGACGCTTGAGCAGCTAAAGGCGATGTGGGGCAGCTCCCTGGTGCCCACGGCCCCCGCGCCGGGCCTGCCTCCCTGGGCCCCTGCCTCCCAGGACCTGGTTCCCACCTCCTGCCTTCCTCTCGCGCTGCCCTCTTCCTCCTCCTTCGCTTCTGTCACGCCTTCGCCCCAGGTTGGTGGTCTCTGCCCCCGCCGCCCGTGCAGCCCACTCGCGGCGTGGCTCTGTCTGTGTGTGCTTCCCCCCCATGCCATGGTGCCTCCACCCGCAGCCGGCCCCAGGGGAGCGCTGTGTGCCGGGCGGGCTGTGGCCGGCTGGCCTCGTGGTTGGCGTAGTCTGTGCCTGTGGTCTGGGAGCTGTGCCCGGTTTCTCTTTGCCTTTAGCACGTTCATGGCAACTGTGTTCTCACTGTGTTTTCTTCTCTTTATGCTCTCCTTTCTCCCGTCCTCCCTGTTTCCCTTCCCCTCCTGTCTCCCCGATAATGGCCTGCCTTGACCCGTCCTCCAACCTTACCCTTTCTTCACCCTTTCCTTCCTCCTCCCTCCGCTCCCCTCATTTCTTGATTTCCTGACCTCTTTCTCTCCATCCTTGCCTCCCGTCCCCTGTCCTCCTCCCCCATGCCCCCTCCAGATGGAGAAGCTGGTGCTCCCCGCTGTAGACTTAGAGCAGTGGTACCAGGAGCTGATGGCCGGGCTGGGGACGGGCCCCGCTGCCGCCTCCCCTCGCTCCTCCCCCCCGCCTCTGCCCGCCAAAGCTTCTCGCCAGCTGCAGGTAACCCGTCCCTCACCGCCCAGCCCTGCTCCTCTCTGCTCTGGGTACCTCCTGCCGACCCTTCAGCCGCACAGATGGTGGGGGATTAATCCAGCCGGTGCAGCAGGGGCCTCTGGACCCTGAGCGGGCGGCCATCCTGACCCTCGGGGCATGGAGGGCCAGCCTCCTGAAACCGAGGGTGATGTGCTGGATGGTCCGACGGAAGGGGGCTTGGGGAGCGGCAGTGCCTCGTGCGGCACTCAACACCCTCACTCTGTGCTCGGCAACTCTCACCCCAGAGCTTCTCGCTCAGTCCTCACACCCTCCTAAGCCTGTTGCCCCTGGCGCTTGTGTATCCTGGGAGAGTCGCCCGTCTTTGTTCTCCTGGTCTCCCCAGGAATGACTCTCCGAGGCAGGAGAGAGTGGGTCAGAGCCTCTCAGGTGACGGCCCTGAGTTCATGCCCTGGACTCAGAGTCGCCGTGAGGGGCATGGGTCTGCTGGAGCCCCAAGCAAGCTGCTGACCGTGGTGTGGGGCAGGGTATTCGGGCAGTCTTCTGCTCCAGGTTCTACTCCACTGACTGGCCGTGGTGCCTGAACAACCCCCTGCCCCTGCCCACTCAAGATTCATTCCTAGAGTGAAGACTTAGTACCTCGAAGACCGATCTCAGCTGAAATTCCACGTTCCCTTTAGGAGTCGTTGGCATGGCCTTTCTATTTTGTGCCCAGCTGGGTTGAGGTTTCTACATGTTTTGATTCACGTAATCTCTACCACAGGCCTTTGAGGTAGATAACGAGACCTCTCATTTCACAGATCAAACACTTGGGCCCAGAGCAGATAAGTAATCTCTCCAAGGTCACACAACTAGGAAGTGGCGGGGGAAACACTGAGATTCGGGTTCTTGACTCCAAAGACTGTGTCACCAAACATGAGTGCCGAGAGGGAGGCTGGCAGTTATTTAGTCTAGCCCTGCCCCCTCCTCTTGCAGATAAGGAGGCCGAGGCCCAGAGTGGGGAGGTGCGTGGCCCAAGGTCACCTAGCCCGTTACTTGGCAGAGCTGGGACCAGAGGGAGCCCTGGCCTCCAGTCAGCCTCCTGTAAAACTCAGCCCATCGGTGCTAACTCCTCACGTGGGCCGATTTACACGGTCCTTTCTACGATGTGGGGTTGGACCAGGGATGGACCCAAGGAGGAACAGCCTGGAAAAGAGGCTTGGCAGCTGCCGGGAATGTCCGCCTGCTGGGCTGGCCTCAGAGGCTCAGTGCTGTGGTCAGCAAGAGACCGAGGCCTCAGGGGCCTGGTGCTGGGCACCTTGGGTCCCAGCCTGCTTGGTGCCGTGGGGGTGGTGGCTGGCCGGGGGGCCTGAGGTCACTTAGCAGACACCACCTCCCCCCTCCAGGTTTACCGCTCCAAGATGGACGGCGAGGCCACCAGCCCCCTGCCACGCACCCGCAGCGGGCCGCTCCCCTCCTCCTCTGGCTCATCTTCCTCCTCCTCCCAGCTCAGTGTGGCTACCTTGGGCCGCAGCCCCTCACCCAAGGTCTGAGAACAGTGGGTGGGCTGCGTGTGGGGCAAGGTGGTGGTGTTGGTTGGGGGGGTTTGGAGATGGCCACATTGGGCAGGGACTGCAGCCTCCCACGAAGCCTTCTGGGTAGTGGGTGTTTTCTGAGCCTCGGGTCCCAGTGCCCTGTTTCCTCCCCCACAGAGCACTCTGCTCGCCCAGAACGGCACCAGCAGCCTTCCTCGCAACCTGGCAGCCACCCTGCAGGACATCGAGACCAAGCGCCAGCTGGCCCTGCAGCAGAAGGGTGAGTGGCCGCCGTGCCAGCCCACTTGCTGTCCCAGGGGCCCTGGACGTCTGCCACGCCCTGTCACCCTAGCTTATCCACGCCCACACCCTGCCCAGGATGTGTTCCCTTTACATGGGGAGCAAAAGGGGTCTGGACTAGAGACCTAAGGAAGAGAGACTCCTGAAGGCTTATCCGAAGGCTAAGGGGCAGGGGACTCAGGGTAGCTGGGCTGTGGCGTCTTTCCTAGAGAGCCCAGCAAGTAAGGGGAATGCTTGTTGACCTCAGTAGGGCTAGACGTTGCCCTGTCTGCAGGTATGGGGTTGGGCCTGATGACCTCCATAAGTGCTTCCCTAACGTTTTAGTTCGTGGGAACACCCAGGAGTGCTGGTTGCTCGTGTGCATTTTGGTTGTTTCGAAAGTCCATGTCTGTGCCTCTCTCTCCTCTCATCCCCTCTGTGTCTCTGCCCTGCCCTCTGCCCGGGGCCCCCCACTCCAGTCGAGTCGCTTCCTGCCGAGCCCCTCCCAACCGACGACCCAGCAGGTAGAGCGTTGGTCACCAAGGGCATTGCTTTGGCCGGGCGGCCGCCGCCCGGGCCTCTGCATGATGGATTCTGCCCAGGCCCCCTCTGCCCGCGGGCAAGACCCCCAGGCTGAGCTGGGCTGGGGTGTCGGGTTGGCCTCGCGAGCTCTCTTCTGCTGCAGCGGAGCTCCGCCTGTCTCCCTTCCCTCCTTTCCTGCGAGCTCCTGCTTCTGCATTGCCGTGGGGTGTGCACTGATGTGGGTGCTCGGGCTGCCGGCACCCCTTCCTCCTCCCAGCAGCAGGGTTGGGAGCATGCGCCCTGCCCACCTGTTCAGGCCTGGGTTGTGAGCTGGAGCCACCAGGCCGTTGTGCCCCCGGGGCGCCCCCCGGGCAGGTTCAGGGCCCCGTGTGGACTCAGCATGCAGTGAGGATGCTGAAGCCGGACCGCACGGCTGTGGCCACTTGTGCGGGCGATGAAGCCAGGGCAGCCGGACCCAGAGCTGCGGGGGCTTCGGGGAAGCTGGTGGGGGGCGAGGGAGCTGCTCCATGTTACCTCTCCCCGCTCGCCACCTCCCTCTGTCTGTAGCGCTGCCAGCGTCCTCCCTGGCTGGGTGGGGTGCCCACCATGACGTCCCCCGTCCCCCCCACGCAGGACAGCAGGTAATCGAGGAGCAGCGGCGGCGGCTGGCGGAGCTGAAGCAGAAGGCGGCAGCGGAGGCGCAGTGCCAGTGGGACGCCCTGCACGGGGCGGCACCCTTCCCCACTGGGCCCGCGGGCTTCCCGCCGCTCATGCACCACTCCATCCTGCATCACCTGCCGGCCTCGCGGGAGCGAGGCGAGGAGGGTGAGCACGCCTACGACACGCTGAGCCTGGAGAGCTCCGACAGCATGGAGACCAGCATCTCCACGGGGGGCAACTCGGTCTGCTCCCCCGACAACATGTCCAGGTACCCGGGCCCCGGCCACCGACGGGCACGGCCTTGGTCCTCCCCACGCCGGCCTCTGTCCTCCCCACCCCGGGGCCTCCACCTCCACCAGCCGCCTCCTCCCCCACTTTCCTCCCCAGCACCAGCGGCCTGGACATGGGGAAGATTGAGGAAATGGAGAAGATGCTGAAAGAAGCTCACGCAGAGAAGAGTCGGCTGATGGAGTCGAGGGTGAGGCAGACTTGGGCCCTGGGGCTGCCCTCTGCCTGCCGGGGGCCTCCGCCCCTTCTGAGGCCCCTTCCCCACATTGTTCTTGCCGCAGTCCCTTGAGGAAGAGAGTGTTTTCCAAGCCTGGGTTCCTCAAGTGGGGGATCGGGAGGCTTGGCGAGATGACAAGTTTCACAGCCCTTAGGAAAAGGGGAGGGAGCACGGTAACCATTGTCCAGCTGTGAATTTCCTGCATGGGAACTTCCAGTCTTTGTATGTTCACTTCAGGGGACCTTTGGCCACCGAGAAAATTTTGATGCCTGTCTACCTGAGTGCCAGGTCACTCCTTTTGGAGACGGTCGGGAACTGGGGCTTGAAGGATGAGGACAGAGAAAGCAGATATCCAAGCCAGAGCAGAGGCGTTGGCTGCGGGCACATCACGTTCCCTGTCCGTGGACCTGGGGCTGGGACACAGCCAGGCTGGGGAAACTGTGCCCAGGGAGGAGGCTGAATAAAGAATCTGCTGAAGACGTTCAGTCTCTGTTATCCGGGGCGCTCTGTGTGTCTGGAGATGAGAGTGGGGCCCTGGGAGCAGGAGACTAACCAGAAAAGAAGGCCTCTGAATCTTAAACTCCCTTGAAAGGAGGGCACATTTGCAAATATCTCTTGGCAAAAGGAAAAAAAAAAAAAACAGATTCTGCTAAATTTTCAGCTGGGAAGAAATGGTAGATGGGAGTTAGTAATGTGAAAGTTGTTACCGGTGATGAAGAGATATAAAACATCACCCATGTGCTCCGTATTTAATGATTTGTTTTAATGACTAAAAATCTTTTGATAATGGCTTTCATAAGTTCTTTTTTTCCCATAAAATTTGAAGGTCAACTGTGACTGTGACTGGAATTTCAAAGGGCCTTCACTTAGTGATTAGGGCAGAACTGCTGAATGCATTTGATGTCAGAAAAAGTTGTTTCGATAACCCATGTCCTAGGAATTCAGATACAGATTTTAAAAGCCCCCCCCCCTTTTTTTTCAATTGAGTGCTTCCATCCTGCCAGCATCAGTGATGGACATTTACCTACAAGATCGCATTTAATTTTCCCTACAGTCCCAGGAGTAGGCGCTCTTGGCCGCATCTCACGGAGGAGGAAACTAGGCTTAGGGAGTTTGTCAGGGCCCGGCGCTCACAGTGGTGGTAGAACCAGGGCTTGAAGGCAGGGTGGTCTCACTTTAAGGCATTTACCCTTGTCAGCACGGTCCATGGAGAGGAGGGTGGGCTTGGAGGACCCTGGTCCCTCATACCAGGCTGCCCTCTGAGGTGGGTGTCTCCTGTAGCTCTGGCCCAGCCCGAGGAGGGGGGGGGGGGCTTGGGGGTAAGAGGGCAGCCATGGGCACTGAGCCGCAGCCCTGGGTGCAGGAACGGGAGATGGAGCTGAGGCGGCAGGCCCTGGAGGAGGAGCGGAGGCGGCGGGAGCAGGTTGAACGGAGGCTGCAGAGCGAGAGCGCCCGGAGGCAGCAGCTCGTGGAGAAGGAGGTCAAGATGCGGGAGAAGCAGTTCTCGCAGGTGAGCGGGTGGGGGCTTGGGGTGGGGCTGTGGAGGGGTCCATGTGGCCCAGGGTACCCGTGCTGGGCGGTGGAGCCTGTTCTCTCCAGGAAGTTTTGCCAAAGCAGGATTCTACCTGGGACTTGCTTGGCCCTGAAGAACAGAACAGGGACCCACTAGGGCCTGTGCAAGCTGGTGTGTGTGTGTTGGGGGGGGCGGGGCGGGATCGGGTTTGGGGGTGTGGCAGGCCACCCTGTTGAGACGAGGGTCTGCGCAGGCCTTCCAGAGGTGGGAGCCGTGTCCAGATTGGGGGACTCCCCTCGGCCTCTCTCAGGGGCCTCGTGGGTCTTCCTCGTGCATCTGCCCCGCATCCCTTCCCGCATCCCCGTGCCCTCCTGCACCAAGTGCTTGGTGTCTGTCCTGGCCTCACTCCACCGGACCTTTTGGCTCCAGGCCTCACCACCAGCAGCTGAGCTCACCCTGACTTGCAGTTTACATCTCCAAAAGAGAATTGTACCAGCTTCTTCCTGGGACAAGAACCCCATCCCTACACAGAATCCAACTTGAGGGTGTTTCATTACCCGGGAGCCTTGAGCAGAGGAGTTGAAGGCAGAAGAAATTAGGTTAGGCAGGAAGATCTACCTGCATTTCCGGTCCCAGATCCTGGGCCCCCAGGACAGCCGTGAGACTCAGACAGCCCGTCCCTTCCTGTGGGGTCTCCATGGGCCGCCCCGGGGGTGGGGGTCCTGCCCTGCAGTGACTGGTGATTGTAGCTCCTTGATTTCCTAATGATGCAGCGACATAAAGTCTAAGGGGTATACTGTCTGGTTTGAGAATTCAGATATAATGAGAAACTCCGGGAGTTTGCTTGGGATCGCTGTCGTATGCCTCGTTCCCCTTTCGAGTCTCTGGCCTCTCGGGGACTCAACTCCTCCACCTGCCCTGGGGCTCAGGTGTGGCTACAGAGGCCAGTGTCTTTGGGAGAGTCGGTGGAGTGGGCTCATCGCTTCCGGGCACCTCTGGGAAGCTGGACATTTTGTTGCTTCTTTAAATAATCGGTAGTGTTTCCTTTTCACCTCATTCTAACATTCTTCCTAGAAATAAAGAGTAGGAAGAAAATTCCCATTGACTGAAAATTATAGATAAGTCTCAGAAATTTTGAGGTGGAACAGACCTCAGAGATTCTCTAGTTCAAAGCCCTTGTTTACACATGAGGATAAGCCCAGAGAGCGGTTGTGACCCAAACAAAGCCCCCCCGACCCGGGAAGGCCAGGCCTCATACTGGGCTTACCGGGCTTTTCTTCCGAGACCGCATTCTTTCGCCTTATCGCATTTGGGACAGGGCGGCTGGGTCTGGGAAGCTGAGGCATAGAGCCGTTCAGCAGTTTGCCCAGGCCTGGGTGGAGTCAGCACAGGCGTGCCAGGTCTCTGCTCGGGCCAAAGCCCCGTGGAACCAGAGGGACAGATTGGGGGTTCAGGACTGAAGCCGAGGGGCCTGGAAAAGGGGATGACGGGAAGGAACAGCCCCTGCTCATCCTGCTCTCTGTCCCCAGGCACGACCCCTGACGCGCTACCTGCCAATCCGGAAGGAAGACTTTGACCTGAAGACCCACATCGAGTCGTCAGGCCACGGCGTGGATACCTGTCTGCACGTGGTGCTCAGCAGCAAGGTACAGGCATGAGGGGCTCCGGGGGGCATGGTGGGGACCCCATGGTCAGAGGCCCCTCCTGGGTCCTCGGAATAGTGGCCTCAGCTCCCGCCCTAATACCAGCGGTCTCTGTCCCGGGACAGGTGTGCTGGCTTGAAGAGATGCTAGAGACAGCCCCCCTGTGAACACAGGCACAGGTGATGGGCTGATATTGCTGCTCAGGGAAGAAGGTTTAGGGGGCTGTGCATTTGGGTCCTGCCTCACCCCTGCTTCCCACCAGGTCTGCCGTGGCTACTTGGTCAAGATGGGCGGCAAGATCAAGTCATGGAAGAAGCGCTGGTTTGTCTTTGACCGGCTCAAGCGCACCCTTTCCTATTACGTGGGTGAGTTCCCCCTAGACTGCCTCAGAGCTGGGACCCCAGGGCTCTGTCACACAGAAGCTTCCAGGTGGGGACCCGGGCCTTGAGCTGGGTCTTGTTCTCCCCTCCCTGAAAATGTACAAGGTGTACCTGGCTTACTTACCTCCTTTTCTTTGTTCACTGATGCATTTTTTTTCCAGCAGTATTACTAAGCACCTAGTAAGTCCCAGGCAGTATCTTAAGCTCTGATGATAAGCAAGGGGGCCACAACCCTCTCCCCTGGAGCCTGCTGCCAGGAAGCAAACAGTGAACAAAGAATGGGGGTGCTATAGGGGACCTCAGATGCTGTGGGTGCATGGAGTCCTGTGGATCCCTTTTAGGCAAGTTCCCGCAGACTCCAAGACAAGCAGCTGAGCAGTGCCCGGGGGGCAGCACCCCAGGCCATTCTGCTCCCTCAGCGCTCTGCACCCGGCCTCAAGCTTGGTTTCCCAGCCCTGGAGTTCCCTCTGGACAGTTCCCACTTGGAGACTGGGATGTTGTATCATAGCCCCGTCACGACAGGCTGGGCTGTGCTGCAGAAGCAACCCCATCCTAAGATCCCAGGAGCTCAGAACCAAAGTTCTTCTTACTCCTGATCTGTGTCCATGTTTGTCATGGGTTGGTGGGGGTCTGCCCTGTGTGGATGCTTTCTTTGCTTCAGAGCATGCCTTTCTGGAATGCTGCTGGCTGCAGTGATTGTAAAGAGAAATGTGATTGGGTTTGCACTGAGTTAAATTCCCCAGGTGGAGTCTGTCCCCAAGTCACTAGCGGGCCTGTTCAGCCAGTCACCCCACCCCACCCAACCACAAAGCCAAGAGAGCCATCCTGCTCAGTGGGAGGGAAAGGGCCAGAAGTGTGTGATGCTGGAGTCATGCAGCCTGGAGCACCCGGTTTCCTCCCCGACCTGGTCCCCGGGCAAATGCCATCTCTTCCAGGAAGCCCTCCCTGCCCACCTGGGCCTTGGGTGTGGAGAGACATATGGGTGCCCCCATGTTTCTGCCTAGTCTGAGAACGGACTTGGTCAGGCCTGGGAGGACAACTCCATCTTAGGCGCGTTGAGGTTGAAGGGCCCCTGGGGTGTCTAAGGTTATGAGAAAGGTCAGGGCTAGAGGCAGAGTGAAAGTCAAAGCGATTGGAATAATAATAATGATGATGGTAGCAGATCATACTGCACAGGTATGTGAGCCAGATTCTGTGCTCAGCCCTCCACATGTATCATCTCATTTAATCATCATCATAATTTTGTGAAGGAAGCACTGTTTTTACACCTGTTTTACAGATGAGGAAAATTAATCACAGAGAGGTTAGGTAACTTGCCTAAGGTCTCTCAGCAGCTGAGCTCGGACAGTTAGACTTCAGAGAAGAGGGAGAGACAGAACTGTACCCCAGGGCAGGCCCACCCTTGTCGGGGAGAAGGAGAAGGAGGCTGCAGTGAAGCAGGGTGCAGGAGCCGGGACGGCACAGGCCGGGTGCTGAGCTGGCGCTTGGCATGTGTGACCTTCCTTCATGTCTGTGAAACCAGCTGGGGAGGGGAGGGGGAGGGCGGGGCGGAAATGGGGAAGGCAGAGGAGTGGATGTGTGCCTGCCAGCATGGGGTGTCATGGAATAAAAAAGTATAATTTACGGAAGAAATTGAGACATTATGGTGATGATGGATGCTGCAGAAAGGCCAGGGATAATGTGCACCCAAAGGCCATTCGATTCAACGATTGGATCTTGATGAGAGAATGGTTTCCACTGTGTGCTGGGGCGGGAGCCAGACTGCACACAATCCGGTGGAGGATAGGTGGGCGGTGAGGAAGCGGAGGCAGGAATGTGTTACTATTTCCAGTGAAGGAAGAGCCAGGAGAGAACAGAATGCTGCCATTCTCCCTGGCCTTCCTGGATCCTGCTCCCTCCTCCATGAAACCCCTCCATTCTACAGGGTCCACATCAGAACGCACCTCTGTGAAGCCCCACCTCACTGGGAGTGGTTCCTGCCCTCCTCTGGGTAACTCCTGCGTTACACAGGGTCCTTCTGCCATGTGACATCAGCCCTGGGGCATAATGATGTCATGACAGATCCACATGTATTGTGCCAGATGCTGTGCTGAACCCTTGGAGTGTGTCCTCTCACTTAACGCTCATGACCGCCGGTAACCTGTAGGTGTTCCCTTGGAGTCCTAACCATGCCCAAGTCACACAGTGGATGTGTGTCTGCTTTCTTCACCCCTAAACTGTGGGCTCCTAAGAAAAGGGTCTCTGACTTCTTTGGATCCCACTTCCTTGAACTCATTTATTCTACATCGATTGAGGACCTGCTGGGTACATAGCAGTCCAGATTGGAGGAGCTTGACCTCTGAACAGATAAAGGAGGGTTCGTTAATGTTTTATTGTTGTTGTTCAGTCGCTAAGTCGTGTCTGACTCTTTGTGACTCCATGGACTGCAGCATGCAAGGCTTCCCTGTCTTTCACTATCTCCTGGAGTTTGCTCAAATTCATGTCCCTTGAGTCGGTGATGTTATCTAACCTTCTCATCCTCTGCCGACCTCTTCTCCTATTGCCTTCAATATTTCCCAGCATCAGGGTCTTTTCCAGTGAGTCAGCTCTTTGCATCAGGTGGCCAAAAATTGGGAGTTTTAGCTTCAGCATCAGTCCTTCCAATGAGCATTCAGGGTTGATCTACTTTAGGATTGACTTGTTGGATCTCCTTGCTGTCCATGGGACTCTCAAGAGTCTTCTCCAACACCACAATTCAAAAGCATCAGTTCTTCAGCACTCAGCCTTCTTTATGGTCCAACTCTGATATCCGTGCATGACTCCTGGACTATACAGACCTTTGTTGGCAAAGTGATGTCTCCACTTTTTAGTATGCTGTCTGGGTTTGCCACAGCTTTTCTTCCAAGGAGCAAGCATCTTTTAATTTCCTGGCTGCAGTCACCATCTGCAGTTATTTTGGAGCCCAAGAAAATAAAATCTGTCACTGTTTCCACTTTTTCTCTGTCTGTTTGCCATGTAGTGATGGGACTGGATGCCATAATCTTAGTTTTTTGAATGTTGAGGTTTTTAAAAAAATTTTTATTAATTTATTTATTTTTGTGCTGGGTCTTTGATGCTGCACGGGCTTTCCTTTGATTGCAGCGAGCAGGGGCTACTTGCAAAAGTTGCACGGACTTATTGTGGTGATTTCTCTTGTTGTGGAGCAGGGGCTGTAGAGCGTGCAACTTCAGGAGTTGTGGCTCGCAGGCTCTAGAGCACGGGCTTTAGTTAGTTGTGGTCCAAGGGCTTAGTTGCTCTGCGGCATGTGAAATCTTCCCAGACCAGGGATCAAACCCGTGTTTCCAGCACTGGCAGGCCGATTCTTTACCACTGAGCCACCAGGGAAGACCTGAATGTTGAGTTTTAAGCCAGCTTTTTCACTGTCTTCTTTCACCTTCAGCAAGAGGCTCTTTAGTTCCTCTTCACTTTCTGCCATTAGGGTGGTATCATCTACATATCTGAGGTTGTTGATATTTCTCCCAGGAGTCTTTATTCCAGCATGTGATTCAACCAACTGGGCATTTCGCCTTACATACTCTTCATGTAAGTTAAATAAGCAGTGTGACAATATACAGCCTTGTCATACCCCTTTCCCAATTTTGAGCCAGTCCATTGTTCCATGTCTGGTTTTGTCACTTCTTGATCTGCATACAGGTTTCTCAGGAGACAGGTAAGGTGGTCTGCTATTCCCATTTCCTTAAGAATTTTCCACAGTTTGTTGTGATCCACACAGTCAAAGGCTTTAGTGTAGTCCATGAAGCAGTTTTTCTGGAATTCCCTAGCTTTCTCTATGATCCATTGAATACTGGCAATTTGACCTCTGGTTCCTCTGCCTTTTCTAAACCCAGCTTTTACATCTGAAAGTTCTCGGTTCATATACTGCTGAAGCCTACCTTGAAGGATTTTGAGCATTACTTTACTGGCATGTAAAATTAGTACAGCTGTGCAGTAGTTTGAACGTTCTTTGGCATTGCCCTTCTTTGGGGTTGGAATGAAGACCTTGTCCAGTCCTGTGGCCACTGCTGAGTTTTCCAAATTTGCTGGCATATTGAGTGCAGCAGTTTCACAGCATCATCTTTGAGAATTTTAAATAGCTCAACTGGAATTCCATCACCTCCATTAGCTTTGTTTATAGTAATGCTTCCTAAGGCCCACTTGACGTCACGCTCCAGGATGTCTGCACTAGGTGAGTGACCACACCTTGTGGTTATCCAGGTCATTAAGATATTAATGTTTACTTATTTGACTGTGCTGGGTCTTAGTTTCAGCATGCAGAATTTTTTAGTTATAGCATGTGGGATCTTATTTCCCTGACCAGGGATCAAACATGGGGCCCCTGCATGGGAAGCTCAGAGTCTTAGCTACTGGACCACCAGGGAAGGGAAGTCTCCTAAAGGAAGATTCAGATTCAGCACAGTAAGTCTGTAAAGAGGAGAACCCCTGATGCAGGAGCGTGTGAGCGCACAACTGATCACCGTAGTGGTGACATTTGCAACAGGTGTTGAAGGTGACTTAGGAGTTTGCTAAGGGAATATGTTAGAGGCCATTCCAGTATCGGCAGAGTGGACCGATAAGGGCCCAAGAGAAGCCCAGCCTGGCCAGAGAGAACTGGGGTTGGTGCCGGGGAGGGAAGTGAGGCAAGGCCAGACGGATGTGTTGGCACCGGCCAGTCGGGGACCTTTGCCAAAGCCAAGGAGGCAGCGGGTTCCAGTGAGGGGGCTGGCAGAGAAGCCCGTGAGCTGAGGCAGCAGGATTTGATCTGCTGTAGGAAGCTCCCGCTCCTACAGGGCAGGGAGTTAAGGGGCAGGGGTGGGAAGGGGCGGGTGAGGAGGCGGCAGCCCGACCCAGGACCCCTGCCTCAGGCCTGAAAGGATGGGGGGTCGGGTGGGGTGGGAAGGTGGTGCTGCCAGCCGGCACCGCCTGAGTTTAGTGCTCGTGTGGCCTTTGCTTTGCGACACGGGCTCGCTGCCCGGAGCTGTGGTGCCTGCTCGGTGTCCGGCCCCAGACGGGGTGGCCAGGCTGTGCTTGCCCCCGCCAGCAGCCTGTCCCTCCCACCCCAGCGGTCCTCTGCTCTGCGGGTTCGCCCACCTCCTTCCTGGCATCCCTGCCTCCAGATGCTGTATGCTTCTTCCATGTTTTTACTGTTTGAGTTGAATAGATAAATGCATTCATGTAGTTCAAAACTCAAAACACATAAAAAGGTTTAAATTGACAATTATATCCCCTCTGACTACAGGTAACTACCTTTATCAATCTCTTATGTATCCTTCTAGAGTTTCTTTAAGGGAATTTAAACAAATGCAAACATATATTCTTACCCCTTTTCCTGGGTCATGAAGATCCCCTGGAGAAGGGAGTGGCAACCCACTCCAGTATTCTTGCCTGGAGAATCCCACCCACAGAGGAACCTGGCGGGCTATAGTCCATGGGGTTGCAAAGAGTTGGACATGAGTGAGTGACTAACATTTTTCTTACACAAAAGATAACACCCAATACACTCCTTGTTTTCCTGCTATGTTATCTTAGAGGTCTATCTCAAATATATCAATGTCTAGATGTTGATATCCAGATGTATTTTATAGATTTTTAAAAAATATTTTTTCTAATTTATCTAAAAACTTTAGTTTGGGTCATGGATTATTTGAAGTGTGTTGTTTATTTTTAAAATATTTATTTGGCTGCACTGGGTCTTAATTGTGGCATGGGGATCTTGTTACCCACCAGGGATTGAACCTGGGCTCCCTACATTGGGAGCACAGAATCATCTTCACACTGGACCACCAAGGAAGTCTTTGTAGATTTATTTCTGAATGTGTATCTATATCAGATATTCATTATTCTGTTAAACAGCTAGGTGTATTTCATCACAAGGCACACTCTACTTAGCTGCCTCCACTTGATGGATACTTGGGTTGTTTTTAATCTTTTGTGACTATAATTACTGCCACGGTGAATCTTGTAAATGTTTTCTTTCATACATGTGTGGGGCTTCCCTAGTAGCTTAGTTGGTAAAGAATCCGCCTGCAATGCAGGCGACACCGGTTCAATTCTTGGGTTGGGAAGATCTGCTGGAGAAGGGATAGGCTACCCACTCCAGTATTCTTGGGCTTCCCTTGTGGCTCAGCTGGTAAAGAATCCCCCTGTAATGCAGGAGACCTGGGTTTGATCTCTGGGTTGAGAAGATCCCCTGGAGAGGGAAAGGCCACCCACTCCAGTATTCTGGCCTGGAGAATTCCATGGACTATATAGTCCATGGGGTCACAAAGAGTCAGACACAACTGAGTGACTTTCACAGAGAGAGAGGTACATGTGTAAGATAAATTTTCTAAGTACTGAAATTGGCTCAAAGGGCAAACACCTTTCTAACTTTGGTCAAAGAGGCCAAGTCGTTCCTAGAGGTCTACAAATTTATATCCCCACCTGTCTGATTTATTATATTGCCTGTCTCCCCGCAGGCGTGTCACAGGTGTGCTGTGTGTTTGAGTTTATTTTTGCTGCTCTGATGGGTGAGCGGTGGTATCTCAGTGGAGTTCCGATTTGCCTCCTCTGTCATTCTGGGCAAGGCTAAACACTGACACAGAATCTGGGCTCTGTTTCCGAGTCCCGGGAGTCACCCCACTTCCTGGGTGGGACATCGTGTCCACGGAGCTTGACCTAAAGCCCCCCAGGCCTCCTGAGCCCTGCCCATCTTCCTTTGCAGACAAGCACGAGACGAAGCTGAAGGGGGTCATCTACTTCCAGGCCATCGAGGAGGTGTACTATGACCACCTGCGCAGTGCCGCCAAGGTGAGCGCCAGCCCTGGGAAGTGTGGGCCGGCGGGGCTCTGGGGGTAGAGACCTCCAGCCTGCCCCCTTCAGAGGCTCGGACCCATTCCTCGTCCTCTTGTAAACTTTCTCTTCCTCTCTCCCTTTCCCAGAAGAGGTTTCTGAGCTTCACTATGGTGACTGAGGTACCCCTCCCCACACACCTCTAACCAGAACTGCCGCGTGTTAACGCCTCCTGGACCCCCTGGCCCCTGACCCCTGACCCTTCCCTGACTCTCCCCTAAGTCCCTCCCCTCCTGCAGGCCTGAGGGTGGAATGCAGCGGGTGCAGACAGCAGGGAGCCCCTGTGAGCTCGGGGGAGCTCGCTGGCCTCCGGGTCCTGAGATGGCAGCAGGCTGTCTCCCTCTGTGGGGGCGGGCAGTGCGACGGGGAGGCTGCAGGGGGCGTGGGGGGCCCTAAGAGACGAGGTCTGGGTGAGAGGACTTAGGGACAGGAGCTGCGGGAGGCTGGGGCTGTTTGCCTTCGTGCGGGTTGGCCTCCCTCCTGCCAGGCTGGCGATGCCTGCTCCGGTCCTCATCTCTGCTCCGCTGGGGTCCTGGGACCCAGCACCCGGCTCGCAGCTTTTTCCATCTGCTCCTTTCTTAATGGGAGAGGACTCTGGTCATCCCTTTGCGTCTGATTCTTTTAGTATTCTCTTTGTGCCCGAGGGCGCCAAGGAACGGTGTCCTCACCTGGCAGGGTATGGTCCTGCTGAGGTCTGCAGACTGCCCCAGATGTGAGGAGGAGACATCCCAGCCTGGGCTGGTGGGGAGCGGTTCCAGGCCTATGGAAGACTCAGGGCGTCCTGGAGGCAGAGAAGAAGGGTGGACGGCAAGGCGGGTGTGAGGTGCTTCAGGCTGGCCTCCAGCGGTGGGCCCCGCCTCAGAGCTTCCTCTCCCCCCGCAGAGCCCGAACCCAGCCCTGACCTTCTGCGTGAAGACGCACGACCGGCTGTACTACATGGTGGCCCCGTCCGCAGAGGCCATGCGCATCTGGATGGACGTCATCGTCACGGGGGCCGAGGGCTACACTCAGTTCATGAACTGAGGCCATGCGCATCTGGATGGACGTCATCGTCACAGGGGCCGAGGGCTACACTCAGTTCATGAACTGAGGCCATGCGCATCTGGATGGACGTCATCGTCACAGGGCCGAGGGCTACACTCAGTTCATGAACTGAGGCCATGCGCATCTGGATGGACGTCATCGTCACAGGGCCGAGGGCTACACTCAGTTCATGAACTGACCCACCGGGGCCCAGCCGCCCACTGCCCCACCTGCCTCCGGACAGGAAGTCGCGCCCTGGGCTCCCAGAGGCCCTGGAGGGCGGAGCACGACGGGCTTTTGTACAAGAGACTCTAATGTCCTGTAAGGAGCTCGTCCTGTGAGTTTCTGAGCTTTGGCCCCCTCTGAAAAACCAGCCAGGAGGTAAAAGTTGAGGAGGGGGCTTTGCTGCCTCCTGGGAGCCCAGAACTTGTAATAGCCTGTTAGGGTCCTGCCCCAGGGCCCCCCCCAGGCTGAGGTGCCGTCACAGAGGGGGCCCCCCCCCACTCTGACCTGGCACCTGCGCTCCCTGCCTGTGTTCTCTTTTCTAAAGGACACATTATGGTACCAGAATCTGCCAAAGATCCCCTCTTGCCTCAGCCTGCATTGCCCTTGGGGGCTGAGTAGCTCCACATCCAGAGTAGGGTAACAGCTCAGGCAGTGTAATTCTCAAACCCCGCTCTATCCCATTCTTGTGCCGCATTTGTATTTTTTATGATTTTGCTCAAGGACCAGAGACTGAGTGTCATCCTTGAGGTCCCAGCCGTAGCCCCTTTTTGCAGACCCATCACCAAGGTCACCATAGTGACTGCTTCATCACCATGGTTACATACTAATTGCCATGGCTCCGCGGCTCAGCCCACTGCTTAGCTGCGGGCCCATCTGAGGGTACGTGCCATCATCTCTCCAGCCCAGGCCCTTGGGCATCTCCTGCTGGGGATGGGGAAAGGGACTAAACACCTTCACCCTGCCCCCTGCCTGTGTCTCCAGGCCCTGATACACAGCCTGCCAGCTCCCCCCTCCAGCCCTCCCCCATACACTCGTGCCTTGCTTAGAGCCAGAAGGGACGAAGCTGGGAACTGGAGGCCAGAGGAGGAGCCATCAGATGGGAGAAGGAGCTAGGAGGGCCGTCCTCGGGGTTCTGGTATATGGCTGAGTTTCTGATGGACAGAGGGCTGTTCAGATGCTCCCTGGAGGAAGTCTTGAGCAGGAGGGGGAGCCCGAGGGTCTGGTTGCCCTCCCCTCAGAATGGGGATGAAATGAAGAGCAGAGGCCCAGGCCTCCAGGTGTCTGGGCTCAGCCCTTTGCGCCTTAACACTAAGCCCACCTCCCTGTCCCCCTTCCCAGCCCTGGACCATGGTTGCCAGGACTGGGCTGGATGTTTTTCAGTATTTGTAAGCATCTCAGCAGAACAATAAAGCATTTGGACTATGTGTTTGGGAGGCCTGGTTGTGAGCGGCGTGGGGTTGGGATTCGTGGGAAAGGAGAGTAGGTCTGATCCATGGTGCAACATTTCCACTTTATTAAATGTTCCAGGAGGGGCCCAGGGCCCAACCATGACCTCCAGGTCCTTGCCCTGCCCCCGCTCTGCTATGACCAAGGACTGGGCTGGGGGAGGGGACAGGGAGGGGGTGGGCTCTCTAGGGATAAAAGATCAGGGGGCAGGAGAAGGTAGGGACACGTGTGGAGGTTGAATCAGCAGCAGCTGGGGCCAGATGGGGATCTGGAGGCCTGTCGCTGTGGCAGGAGGCTGAGCAGGAGGGCGGCTGCGAGGCAGTGGGGCTCCAGGAAAGCGGTCTGCGCCCCCGAGCTCAGCCGGTCCCCATAGCGGTCCAGCAGCATCAGGGCCACGCCACTGGTCCAGCCAAACCCCTCCTGGAGAAAGGTAAGGTCCGTGGGGCAAGACCCCTGGGGCAGGCCCCCAAGTCCTCTTACGGGTTGTGGGATCCCCACCTAGAGGCCCAGCCCCCCCCAGCCCCAGGGGTACCAGGGAGCGCCAGTCGGGCTCCTCCCTGGGATCTAACCTCCATGGAAGAAGCTGAGGCCCAGAGAGGGGAGGTCATGGCCAGTTATGGGGACAGCAGAGCCCCGAAGTTCCCTGGAGGATGTGGCCCACTCACCTGAACTTCATACTCCCCTCCACCACTTGGCTGTCCACCGTTGCTGATGTCATACTGAGGACAAGAGGATGAGCTTTAAGGTCAAGCTCTGCCCCAGCCCCCCAACCCCAGGCCTCTAGGGAAGCAAGAAATGGGAGCCCATTACAGGGAGAAGCTGCTCTGGCCAGAGGCTGAGCCCTGCAGTGCCCAGGAATGACCAGCAGGTGCCGCCACTGCCCCGGGTTATACTGGGCTCGGGCTTTGCAAAGCCTGACAATTCCCCATTTCACCCTGGGCAGGAGGACCCCAGGGACAGGGCTTATGGTCAGCTCACCTTCTCATACATGGCTGACTTTTTGGAGTAGACATCAAAGTTGGTTTGGATCCAATTCTGGGCCAGCTGGAAAGCTACTTCCTGGGCTTTGGCTGAAGGAGACTTGGCCAGACCTAGACCCCACCCATGGCAGGACCCTGCATCTCCAGAGCCAGAATCCCAGGAGAAGCAGAGGCCTGAACCTTATTCTCCCAAGGATGGAAAGAGGCCCAGGTGCTAAGACCTCCTTCCTGGAACCAGAAGCCAAGCTGCTCTTAACCTTGGTTGGCTCAAGGAGAGCAGAGGGTTGGTTCCCCTGACAGGTGGGGGCAGGTGTAACTGTTTGCTGAGAGGCTGAGAGAGCAGAGAAGCTAGAGAAAGGTCCCCAGTGCCAGGGAGGCCGAGCCTCTGCCCTCGTGGTGCTGAGGTGGGGTAGGCCCCATCCCTGCCTCCCTACCTCTGATGACCAGGTCCTGCAGGGGGGCCCAGGCATTGGGGAAGTCCCATTGCTGGCCTGTCTTCTGGAGAGAGGTCGGGATTCCATACTGGCAGGTGAGGATCCGGCTGTCCTAGAAGCTTCCAGACATTATCGTGACTGTGGGTTGGGGCTGGACAGGGAGCCAAGAGGCTGGGCCCTCCTAAAGCCAGGGGACCCCTCCTGGGCCTTCTCTTCTTGGCTCACAGCCGCCCCCTGGTGGCCGAAGTGGGACCTGCCGGTAAGACACTGGGTGGAGCCTGGGTGTGTGGCTGCCACTTGCCAGAGGTCAGGGAGCAAGCAGGTGGTCCTGCCCCGGTGTAGCAGCCCACCATGCTGCCTCCTCACCTCCAGGTATTTCAGAGCTTTATCTACATCGTCCGAGTCAGAGAAGCAGCCAGCCCAGAGAGGAGCAAAGTTGGATGGGTAAAACTCCAGTTTCTTCTTATCGTTCTCAAGGTCATAGTCAAACCAGGCCCCTTTGCCCTCATCCCACAGGACATCCTTCAGGGCAGCCATGCGCTGGGCCCGCAGATTTCTGTACTTCGCAGCTTCAGAGTCATTCCCTGGGGCAACACTGCCTTTAGGCTAAGCCACAGGGCCCTCCGCCTCCCAGGGGGTCTAGTTTGGCCCCCTGTTGTCTTCCCCTGGACTCAGAGGTCCCGAGAACCAAGGGGCCACACAGATGTGGAGCAGAGCCCACTGCATTTCAGGCCTGTAGCGCCGGGACTTCCCTGAGCACACGGTCCCAAGCAGCTCCCAGGCCCTGCCCCGGCCTGTCCCCAGGTTTGTCCTCACGGGGACACAGGCTGGCTGTGTGGATTCCCCTGGCTCTGAGGGGTCAAAGGACAGGGAGAGGGGACGGAGGGGTTTGGATCTGTGGGGTAGGGTGTCCCCTCCTAGGTCCTGTCAGTGAGAAAGGGAGGGATGCGTCTGCTTTGGGGATGTGGGGTGAGGCCAGGGAGCTGGAGGTCTGCCTGTCACGGTCCTCCTTGCAGCTGACTGCCAAGGCTGAGGCAGGGACCCGAGCTGGGCCAGCACCCTTCTTTCCTTCCCTGCGAGCACGCGCACCCAGTCTGGAGTAGAAGTTGCTCATGAGCCCCTCCGCCTGGCACAGGAAGGCGTTGAGGTCAACCGGCACCAGCTTGCTGGTTCAGATGCTGCTGAGCGAACTGGGATTCGGGCCTCCCAGGAGCCAGCGTGAGGAGAAGTCCCAGCTGAACTCGGCCCCGGCCTTGAGTTCGGCCAGCAGAGTGTCCCGGTTCCCTGTGGGAACAAGGCAGCGGCAGACGGGAGGCCAGGGCCTGACGCACGGCCCGGGCCCACGCTCAGCCCCTTCCCTTCCTGCTGCTCATCTTCCGGCAAGGTGGCGGCCAGCTCTGTGTCTTTGCTGTAAGACTCCGGCCTGGTGAGAAGAGAGCAGAGGGCCTGGCACTGGGCTCTAGACCCTCCATGCCTGCGCAGGAGGCCCAGCCACCCTGGCTCAGCCGTCCTGGGGGGCCCACAGCCCCGGACCGCCCAGGCCTATCAGGTCATCATCTGAGAGGTGGGACTCAGTCCCCCACCCTCCTGCCCAGGGAAGTCCTGACACTCAAACCGGAGTGAACACACAACAGATTGAGGCTGGCCGGGTGGGTCCTCACCTTGGGCCCCCGTAAGGGACTTCATAGCGGTTCAGGATGTAGCTCTTTCACCCGGAGCTCACAGAAATGCTCCTGTTCTTACTCCAAAAGTCTAGCTCTGAGGCCAGGGTCTCAATGTGGTCCCTGGGATGGAGCCGGGCACCCTCTCAGTCCAGGCACCCCGCCCCGGGAGGTCCCAGGAAGGGGGATGCAGGGCAGCACGGGGAGGGGTTCCCACCGTAGGAAGGCGGTGTCATTGGTGTGGGCCACGTAGCGGTCCGTCATGAGGGTCAGGAGAGGGGGCTGGCTCCATTGCAGGTAGTACACTCGGGCCCCATTGGGGATGTGTCCATACCTGCCAAAAGGAGGCCTGCTGACTGGCCCACCCGGCTGCCAGAGCCGAGGTAAACCGGCCCCAGGCCCACGGCACCTGCTCCCCCGACCCTGGCTGCGGTGCCCACCCCGCCTTACGTCTGCACCAGGTCCAGGAAGTTCTGCAGCATGCCCTTCACCGTCTCGGGCATCTCAGAGAGGAGCAGACCCTCCATCATCCAGTAGGAGTCCCTGGAGGAGGACAGTCAGCTCAGGCATCGCCCACCCCATCCTCTGCCCTGCACACCCGGGCCATGCCAAGACGTCTTGCTGGCACTGGGCTCCCCTCCCCACCCCTCACCCTCCCGCAACCCCTGGCTGCTCACCAGTAGTAGAACTCCACAAAGCGCCCACTGGGCACAATGAAGGGGTATCTTGAGTAGATCAGCGAGAACTGCTTGGGGTGGATGAGGACCTCTGGCTTCACCTGGAGTCAGGAGAGAGGACACGGGCACCCTGGGCCCATGTGGAGCGGAGGCTGGCGGCCCTGCAGCCCGGGCATGGGCTCTGGCTCTGGCGCTGCTCAGCCGTGTGGCCTTGGTCCAGGCCTGGGCCATGGGGAGTCTGTCTGCTGGTCCCCACGTGCCGGCCTCCAGAATCCCAGCAGGAGCAGCGGCGTGCAGGAGCCTGGAGCCCTCAGCCCGGCACCCCAGTGCTCACCACACAGCAGCCAGTATCAGCAGCCAGCTGGTGGGCGTGTCCTTGGCTCCCAGTGCCCCCCGAATCTCTGTGACCACCGTGAGGCCAGGCCCAGAGGATCAGGGCCCCCAGTTCTGGCCCAGGTGTGGATGAAACCCCCACAGCTTTCTGCAGTGAGGCGGGTGTGGATGAGCGTGCCCGGGGGAGAGCATGGGAGCGTCAGCAGGGCTCACGGCTCTACATCAGGTGTTTTCTGTTCATCCCCTCCCAGCCTACACACGTGAGGGCTTTAGTGGGAGAGGTCAGCCTGTCAGAGATTTGGAGGGAACAGAGGAAGGGGCCCAGGTTTTCCCCTTTGGATGGGGTCTGGTGAGGACTCAGCGCAAGCCGGCACGTGCATGACCCTGGAGCCCCGCTCTGTGCAGTGGGTGCCAGGCCCTGGGGCCAGGCGGGAGGACAGGAGCTGTGCAGCCTTGGGCAAACGGCTGCCCTCTCTGAGCCTCAGACAAAGGGGAGAAAGTGCATAACAGACGGTGCTGAGCACAAGCCTGGGCCAGAATCAGGGGGAGCAATTATGGTTCCTGAGCAGAGGCCTGGCCCAAGGAGCTCAGGTAAGAGGGACCAGCAGGGGAGTGAACAGTCAGCACGGGGTGTGAAGGGCAGGACGGGGCAGCTGGTGGTGGAGGATGGGCTCAGTTTGCCTGGGGGAGGCTGGGAGGGCTTCAGGGAGGAGGTGAGGAGTTAGAAGTAGATGCTGCCTTCCTGCCTCTCAGAAGCTCTTTTTGGAGAGTCCTGTTCAAGGACTGTGTTCTCAGGAAATAGGGCCCAGTGTCTTGCTGGGTCCACATCAGGTGTTTTCTGTTCATCTATTTCCAGCTCTACACAGGTGAGGGCATAGAGGGAACAGGAAGGGCCCCAGATGGCTCACCCCTTCCCCACCTCCTTCTCCCTCTGCCAGGCTCAGGGCACTGGTACCTTCTTTCCCAGCTTCTTCCAGAGTTGGTGCAGCTGCCCTGCCCAGGCTCACAGCTTGGGGTTCAATATCTTCTGCAGAAACTGGGGGCTGGAAGACCCCCACAGGGTTGAGGGGGGCAGCCCTGAGCAAAGGCCCCTCTCCTGTTGCACGTCCAGGGTTGTACCTGTCTCTCCAGTCCCCAGGCGTCCAGGGCTGCAGCTCCTGCCCCACAGCCCGGAAGTGTTCTTGAATGAACACTTGCAGCTCCTGCCAGGGGATGCTGAGGTTATGGGCCTGGGCCAGCTCGCGGAAGCGCCTCAGGACTTGGTCTGGGGGACAGGCAGCAGGAGGGGTCAGCGGGACCCCAGGGAGCCTTCCCTGATCAGGGGCCCCTGCCTGTCTGGTCTTGCCCCCTGCCTTTTGGTGGAAGGTTCAGGAGAAGGCGGGGCCCCTGGGGTTCTCACCTGGAGCTAAGGACAGAGGCATGTCCACAAACTGCTTATCATCCTGGTAGAGTTTGGCCATCTGAACTTGGTGCAGAAGCTCCCCATGGCAGTAAATCTGGCTGCAGGGAGAGTCGGGGAGGGGAGTATGTCGGGTCAGCACCAATGGGGAGAAGAAAACGGGAGTCTGGGGCGTGGTGACTGGGAGCAGCGAGGACGGTGTGTGTGCCAGGGCATGGGCACATGTGCGCCTGTGCAGGTGTGTGGCAGGGGTTCGTGGGTGGTGGTGACATCAGGGCTGAGAGAACGTGGAGTGTCCTTGTGCAGGAAAGGACCTAAAGGAGCCTGAGCCCAGCTCTCTGGTTAATTTGAAACAGTATTGAAAACCGGCTGGACAAGAGGAGGGAGGGCGCTGTAGCTCAGAGCGTGTCCACATCAGGAGTTGCCTGTTCATCCTCTCCCAGCTCTACGCATGTGAGGTGGTTTTAGTGGGAGAGAGGTCAGCCAACCAGGGATTCGGAGGGGAGGAGCGGAAGGGGCTCGGACCTGTTCTCGCCGGGTGGGGGGGCTGGTGAGGAAGCAGCCCACTTTGGCACACAAGCCGGGAGCACTGTTCAGTAGCGCTTTAATCAGCGATTGTGGGATGGACCAGTTCTCTGTTCAGCGGCTCCACGTGGACCCAACTGGAAAGGCTTGTGGCAAAACCCTGTGAGTTTTACTCAGTGGCAATAACGAAAAGTTTGAACCAGGAAATTTCCAGATGCAGTGTACGATACACACCATATGGGAGATGATCACTAGCTTGCTATCGGATATTGATGGAAACCTCCTCTATGACTGAAAAGCACAAAATATTCTTGAAACCATGAAATACCCATAATGCCTTGGGTGATGTCAGAGAAACCCTCTGATAAAGAAGGCAGTGCCCCGAGAGTTTCTTAACGATGGAAATGGTTTCTGCAGGAGCAGGCTGCTTGGGGAATGCAAGAAGGTACTTTTTGTGTTCAAGGGCAGGTGGCCTCACTTCCTGCAGGGCTGACTGGGGAAGCAACAGAGAAGCCACCAGGAGGCACCCTGTGAATAGCTTTTTATTGACCAAGCAAAAACTCGGTCATTTACTGATGGCAGTTCCGAGCGGAGAGACAGTATCTTGGTTGGAAAGCCCCTGCACCCTAACTGCCTCATGGAGATCTTTGGAAAACATAAGAACAAGCCAGCCCCATGGGCTAAATTGCAAGCTGTTTCCCTTGCAGTGGGGCTTCCCTGCTGGCTCAGACAGTAAAGAGTCCACCTGCAATGCAGGAGACCTAGGTAGGACCTAGGTTTGTCCTACCCCCTGGAGTAGGACATGGCAACCCACTCCAGTATCCTTGCCTGGGAAATCCCATGGACAGAGGAGCCCAGTGGGCTACAGTCCATAGGATCATAAAGAGTCGGCCACAACTGAGTGACTAACACTTTCATTTCCCTTGCAGTGATGGAAGAATTGAATGATGAGAACCCCTATGTTTGGCTTTATATTGACCCGTAGACATCAGTGTGTTCTATTTTAATGCAATATTCATATTCCCATAATGTTTTTAGGACCATGCCACAGAAGGGCATCATTTTTATATGCCAGTTTTCCATTGCCGTTCTTCTGTCTGACCATATGGCCAGGCCATTGGCCATTGACCGAGAGTAAGCAAAAACACAAACACAGTGACAAATGGTATGTAACTCAGCCCACCGAGCCGATTTGGTTTTGTCTTCTTTGATAAGAGTGGCAGTCTTTCAAACAGTATGTTGTATGTTCACCTTGGAACTGCCATCCATAAACCATGCAGTTCATTGTCGGTCAATCAAGAGCTGTTTATGGGGCACCTGCCTAGGTGACAATTGAATCTGGTAGTTCCTTAGGTGGTTTCAACGTCATTCCTAAGGGAAAAGAGCCTATCTGCTCTTAAATACACTGAGTAACTCTCCGTTCCCCCAGCAGCATGGTCCTGCATAATCCATTTTCATTTTCTTATGGAACTCCTCTGGGCATGTCCCTCCTTCTTAGAGCATTTTTCAATATCACCCAAGATAATATGGGCATTTCAGGTTTCAAGATTATCTTTTGACCTTCAGTCACAGGGAAAACTTTAATTAATATTTGACAGAAAACTAGTAACTGCCTCTCCAGTTGAAATTCTTTAGTCCAAAGTCTCAGCTGGGAGGTGCCCAAAGGCTTTTCCTGTTAAGTCCCAGCCTGTGATCCTCAGAAGAAGGCTACAATCCATGTAGACTCAGGTAATCTTATTGGTTCTCATTTGGAACATTCAATTAATATTGCTTGAGACATGGCTTTACATGTCTTCTGCTTTATAATACTAGACAGTGGAAACATTCCCCAGTCAGGCACAATATCCATTCCTGTAATACATTCAGGTGAAATAGATGCAGCCACTTCCCAATAGAACTGTTCAAACACCAATTTTCATTCAAACTTTCATCTTGGTTGCACCAATGCTTGCATCCCTCACTGTGCACCTCTTAGAACTTCAGCAGGTTTGGGTTTTGAGTACTAGGGAGGGTAAGTGTTCCTTGTCAATCATGACGTTCATTTCCATAGAACAATCAAGTGAAGGAGAAACAATCCTTTGACATAAAGCCTGTTTAAACATTCCATTTTTTTTTCATACTACCTTTCACCTTCATCCCATCGACTCTTGCATTTCTGTATTCTCTTAATCTGACTGTAGCCTCTTTTAGGTCCTCACCAGTTGCTTTTGGTACCTCAGTGCATGGGGTTCCCACGTCAGAGAGTCCAGGAGCCTCCTCTACCCTCTGACCACTTTGCCCACTCCTATGTGTCAGGTCTGGGTCCCCAGTGTGGGATAGAGCTAAGGGACTCTGACCCAGCCATCAGCCTTGATCTTGATTTTATTTCGGCACCATTGCCCCAGAAGATTGGAGGTCAGGCTTCTTGTTGCTGCCTATATCTTGCAGTTTTCCAAGTAGCTCCCAGGTAGGGTGAATAAAATTTGTCTAGGGCCTTTTCATTTTGGATGACCTGCAGGGGTTCCCATTGGTTCAGTCAACTTCTAAGGATGCTGCATGAAAACCTTTCTTTCGAGCCTATCCACAGTCCATGGGGTCGCAAAGAGTCGGACATGACTGAAGCCGCTTAGCGTGCACACACGCGTGGCTGCTTTATTCATCCCATTTCTTGAAAAGAAATCAGTCCTTTGACTCCCTCTCTTCTTCCTCTTTTGTTTTGCTCCCATCAATATTTGCTTTATTTACTCCATTCTTTTTTTTTTTTTCAGTCATGCAGCAGGGCTTGCAGGATCTTAGTTCTCCCACCAGGGCTCAAACCCATGCCCTTGACACTGAAAGTGCAGATCCTAATTGCTGTACTGCCAAGGAACTTCTTATTCACCCCATTTTTTAAAAAAATTTATTTACTTATTTTTGGATCTGCTGGGTCTTTGGTACTGGTTTCAGAGCATTGGGTTCTAGGGCTCTCGGGCTCAGTAATTAAGGCTCACAGGCTTAGTTGTTCTGTAGCATGTGGGATCTTCCCAGACCAGGGATCAAACCTGTGTTTCTTGCATTGGTGGGTGGATTCTTAACCACTGGACCACCAGGGAAGTCCTCATCCCATTCTTAATAACTGTTTAAAGATGCCTATCCTGCTGGGACGAGACCATTGGCTCTGTCCTCTGTCTATCACATTCTCTTGGGAATCAAACTTTCTTCATTATTTGTTGTTTCAGAATAATTTTTTCCTTTGTAAATGGCTCTGGGGCTAGTGGCTGCACATCAGGGCAGCCAGAAGTAGGCCCGTCCCCAACACATTCCGTTAGCAGAGGCCCTGAGACCAGAGTCTGTAGTTAGGACTGACCAGAATTTAAGTTTGGTTTATCTCTCACTTTCACTTTTGCTATTCTAGATGACAATAACCAAGAAATTCTTTTTTTATTTTTTCTTCTTATTTTGCATTTTCTTATGCATTTGGTTAGCTAATATCCCAAGAGTTGGATCCATCAGCTCTAACTTTCATTGGTAACTTTTACCTCCAGTAAGTAACTGATCACAACAAAACTGCTATTCTGAACACATGGGTGACCCTGTGGCCGTTCAGGAATCAAAAGATGCTCGTTCCCTGCCCTTTCATCTTGCAATTTCCAAACCACGTGTTTTAGTGAGACAAGATCATCCTAGAAAATTACACATGTTCTGACCACAATTAAAATATTGCAATAAAATTCTGTCACTAAGAGTTAGCTTGGATGCCACCCCCAGGTCAAAGCTATAGTTCCCAACAAGATTGCCCTCACTCCTAGCACCAGTTATAAGTTCAGGGGTCCTGAACTTTCCACCACTTCTGACCACTGGCTACAAGGTCAGGGGTTCCCAAGAGAATTTGCTAGAATTAATAGTGATTTATAAGAATGGTTCACAGAACTCAGTAAAGCACTGTATTGTGACTGTAATATAGTTATCCTAAAGGTACAAGTCAGGACTGGCCAAATGAAGACACATATAGGCAAGGTCTGGGAGAGTCCTGAACAAAGAGCTTCTGTGTCCTCTCCCCATAGAATCAGGACACTTCAACCTCCTGGCACATTGAAGTGTCAGCCAAAATGAGGCTGCACTGAACTTTGGTGTTCAGAGTTTGGTTTTTCTTGGGGTTTCATTGCATAGGTGTGTGCCTGCATGCATGCTAAGTCACTCAGTCATGTCCGACTCTTAGCGATCCTTTGGACCATAGCCCACCAGCCTCCTCTGTCCATGGGATTCTCCAGGCAAGAATACTGGAGTGGGTTGCTGTGCCCTCCTCCAGGGGATCTTTCCAACCCAGGGATCAAACCTGTGTTTCTTATGTCTCCTGCATAGGTAGGTGGGTTACCCACTGCATAGGTATGATTGATTAAATCATCAACTATATGATTAAACCCAATCTTCCACCCCCTTCCTTCTCCAGAGGTCAGGAGGTCAGGCTGGTATCAGGTACCCCAAAACCCCAACCCTCTAATCACTTCATCTTCTAACATGACCTATCCTACTTTAGTCATCTTATTAGCATGACCCATCTAGGTACTCACCATGAGTCACCTCACTCATAGAAGCTATTCAAGCTTAACCTGAATACCAAAGACACTCCTGCCACTTGGGAAATTTCCAAGATCTTAAAAAGTTGTATTCCAGGAACTCAGGACAAAGACTGGACAAATTCTTTGTTATACAAGTTGTTTTTGCAGTAAACAGTTTTGAGTTAACAGATCGACTGTGTTCACACCCCGTACATTTCAAAGACAGTCTGATACGTGCCTAAGAGATACCCTCTAAGCTCCTGGGGCCCTACCTGATATATTTTTGTTTACTGGGACCTTGGACCATGCCAGATATTTTATCCTATTAATGTGATTTAAGGTGGGGGCTGAGGGCCATCCATTATCATTTTGACCTTTAGAGACCTGGAGAATGAATAACTAAAGTCGCCATGAGGATACACTACGTCCCTGTAACTGATCCCCAGTAAAAATTCATGGATGCCAAGGCTTCCTGGCTGGCCATGCCTCATGTGTGTACTAAACTGTAACATGAATATAAACATTTGGTGAGTACTATTGGAAGATATGGGCTTCCCAGGTGGCCCAGTGGTAAAGAACCTGCCTGCCAATGCAGGAGACATGGGTTCGATCCCTGGGTTGGGAAGATCTGCTGAAGAAGGACATGACAATCCACTTCTGTATTCTTGCCTGGAAAATCTCATGGACAGAAGAGTCTGGTGGGCTACAGTCCATGGGGTCGCAAAAGTCAGACACGACTTAGAGACTAAAAAACAACAACCATCACCAGTGAACCTCTATCATTTCTTTTCTTGCTTGTTATGTAATAATAACCTTAATAACCTTCATGGACCTCATTTTTCTTGTTCACTGCTGCAACCCAGGAGGCATAATGAGAGCTCAATAAACCCATGATGAAGGGAGAATAGCTGCCCTGTGAGTCCCAGAGGCAGGAGGGGGTCACTCATCCCTGCTATTTGGAGATGAAAACTGTGGCTTTGGAAAGAGGTTTGGTCATGGAGGTCAGAGGTCAAACCCAGGGGCTCCTTGCAGGTCCTTACTCCCACTCTCACATCCAAGGCAGGGAACTTGAGCAGAAAGTTTCCCAGAACAACCCTGAGAACAGGCCTGCACAGTTGAAGGAGCAGCTAGAGAGAGGGCAAGAGGGAGGGAGCGCTCCCTGGGCGGCAGGCTCCTGGCCTGCGTCTAGCCGCCCACAGGCTGCCCCGTCTTTTCTGGCACTGGGGGTCAGTGCCCAGCACAAAGCCTGCGGCCTGATTTCTTTCCCTTCCCTCCTCCCTGGAGGGCTGACCCTGATGCTTGAGCTCTCCTCCTGGTCCTCCAGTCCCGGCCTTCCAGCTGCATCCCCAGCTGCCTTCTCCGCTCCTACCTTTCACAGGGTGGGGGCAGGGCCTCCTGGGACCCCAGCCCCGACCCCAGCAGGAGCAGCAGACGCAGCCCCCAGGTCCTCCCCTGCATGACGGCTGTGGCTCGGCCACACGGGAGTGCCAGGTGCCTCCTGCTAGCCGGGGCACAGTCTGCTCGCCTTGCCCGCCAGCCCGGGGCAACCAAAGTCCAGGTCTGAGGCGTGGCCACTCAAGGAGCTGGAGCACGCGGACCGCTCGCCGCTCCTGCTCTCAGCTCACAGGGGCCGCCCTTGCCCCCCCGACTTTTTCTTTTCCTCCCCTTCTGTTTCTCAGCCTCAACTGGTTCCTCCTGCTCAGGCTCTTCCCCCGAGGTGGGGTAAGGGTGGGGAGCTGGGGCGAAATTTGGCCACACATCTGTGACCCAGATGCTGGTCCCTTTCGTGGCCCCGAGGCTACCACCTCAGGGGGTTACCATTTCCTTTAACATTTCAAACAGAAGGGCTCAAGATTCTGTCCCAGGTACAGTATGAAAGCCCAGGACCCTTGCGATTATCTACCAGGAAGGCAGTGGGAGCACAGAAGACCCACCACACTGGGGACATTTGCTGCAGGTGTTGAAGATGACTTAGGAGTTTGCCAAGGGAATGGGCTGGAGACCGTTCAGGTGTTGGCAGGAGCAGGGCAGCTGCAAGAAGCCCAGCCTGGCCAGAGAGAACTGGGGTTGGTGCCGGGGAGGGAAGTGAGGCAAGGCCAGACGGATGTGTTGGCACCGGCCAGTCGGGGACCTCTGCCAAAGCCAAGGAGGCAGCGGGTTCCAGTGAGGGGGCTGGCAGAGAAGCCCGTGAGCTGAGGCAGCAGGATTTGATCTGCTGTAGGAAGCTCCCGCTCCTACAGGGCAGGGAGTTAAGGGGCAGGGGTGGGAAGGGGCGGGTGAGGAGGCGGCAGCCTGACCCAGGACCCCTGCCTCAGGCCTGAAAGGATGGGGGGTCGGGTGGGGTGGGAAGGTGGTGCTGCCAGCCGGCACCGCCTGAGTTTAGTGCTCGTATGGCCTTTGCTTTGCGACATGGGCTCGCTGCCCGAAGCTGTGGTGCCCGCTCGGTGTCCGGCCCAGACGGGGTGGCCAGGCCTTGCTTGCCCCCGCCAGCAGCCTGTCCCTCCCACCCCAGCGGTCCTCTGCTCTGCGGGTTCGCCCACCTCCTTCCTGGCATCCCCGCCTCCAGATGCTGTATGCTCCCTTCCTCCGCTGCTTCCTTCTTTCCTTCCTTGAAAGTTTTTTCTGGTCATCAAATAGACACAGCATAAATACAAGCCATTTCAACCATTTTTAAGCACACAATTGAATTTACATTACGTTCACATGTCTGGCAACTATCACCATTATTTATTTCCAAGCCTTTTTGCTTTTATCATCCCAAACACACACTTTATAACTCCTCAATCCTCTCTCCCCACCACCCTTGGAAACCACTATTCCACTTTCTGTCTCTATGAATTTGCCTGTTCTAGACACTTTATGTAAGTGAAATTATACAGTATTTGTCATTTCATTAGCACATTTTCAAAGTCAGTCTATGTTGTCACATGTATCTGAATTTCCTTCTTTTTCTTTTAAGCTGAATAACATTTCATTGTATGTTTAGACAACATTTTCTTTTAGAGATGAATGTGTTTTGGGGAATTCCCTGGCAGTCCAGTGGTTAGGACTTGAGCTTTCTCTGCCCACGGGCCAGGGTTCGATCCCTGGTTGGGGAATTAAGCTCTTAGCAGAGTTACTAAAGCAAAAACAAACAGCAACAAAAAAGTAGAGATATTTTTTGAAAATGGAAAGTTTTCAGTCTTTCACCATGAGTATGCTGCCAGATGTGGGTTTTTCATAAAATGAGTATATTTTTTAAACGTTTACTTTATTGAAGTTGATTTACAATGTTGAGTTAGTTTCTGCTATACAGCAAAGTGAGTCAGTTATACATATAAACGCACTTTTCCTTATTTTCTTCCATTTGGTTTATCACAGGATATTGAGCATATTTTTCTGCGCTATACAGTAGGGGCTTGCTGTTTCTCCGTTCTACATGTAATAGTTTGCATCTACTCATCCCAAATGCCATCCTTCCCCAGGGTCACCTCCCCCTTGGCAATCCCGTCAGTTCTCCATGTCTGTGAGCCTGTTTCTGTTTCCATACAGAAGTTCCTTTGTAGACCACATTTTCTATAACCATTCGTCTGTCATCGGATGTCTGGCTTACTTTTACTTTTTGGCTATTGTGTTTAATGCTGCTATGGACATGAGCATACACATATCTGTTCCTGTCCTGGCTTTCAGTTCTTTTGAGTATGTATCTAACAGTGGAGTTGCTGCATCATGTGGTCAATCTATGTTTATTATTTGAGGTGATGTCAGATTGTTTTCCACTTGCTATATTCCCACCCGTGAGGCAGGATGGTTCCACTTCCTCCACATGCTCCCAGCACTTGTTTCTTTCTGTTTGTTGTTTGTAATAGCCACCCTAAGGGGTGTGTGGTTATGTCTCATTGTGGTTTTGATTTGTATTTCCCTAATGATTACTGATGCTGAGCATTTTTTATGTGCTTATAGGCTGTTTGTTTATCTTCTTTGGAGAAATGTTTATTCAAGTTTTTTGGCCTTAAAAATTTGTAGTAAGCTTTGAAATCAGGAAGTGTTGGTTCTCTGACCGTGTTCTTCTTTTCAAGATGGTTTTAGTTATTTAGGGTGTCTTTCAGTTCCATGTGAATTAGAACATCACCTTGTCCATTCCTGCAGAAAATGCTGTTGGAATTTTGATAGGAATTGTGTTGTATCTGTAGATCCCATTAGGTATTCAGGACATCTTAACAATATTAAGCCTTCTTACTCCCAAACACTGGATGCTTCTGCATCTCTGTAGATCTTACTTAGATTTAGCTATGTTTTTTAGTGTTCAGTATACAGGTCTTTCATCTCCTTGGATAAACTTATTCCTGAGTATTTTATTCTTTAAGATGCTCTTTTTAATGGGATTCCTTTTCAAGTTTCTTTTTCAGTTTGTTCTTTGCAAATGTATAGAAACTCAATGGATTTTTGTGTGTTATCTCGTACCCTGCAGCTTTATTGAACCTGTTTATTAGATCTAGTAGCTTTCCTACGGATCCTTTGGGATTTTCTATATGTAGAAGCACATCATTTGTGAATAGAATATCCTTCCTTTCCAATATGAGTGACTTCTATTCCTCCCCGCCACCACTGTTACTCTGGTTAGAACTCTGGAGTAGTGTTCGATAGCAGTGGTAAAGTGAACGTCTTTGTCTTGTTCCCTGATTTTAGGGGAAAGTTTTCAGTCTTTCACCATGAGTGTGCTGCCAGATGTGGGTTTTTCATAAATTCCCTATATTATACTGAGGAAATTACCTTCTATTTCTAGTTTTTAGGTTTTTTTTTTTTAAATCACTGATGGGTGTTCAGTTCAGTCACTGAGTCATGTCCGATTCTTTGCAATCCAATGGACTGTAGCACGCCAGGCCTCCCTGTCCATCACCAACTCCCAGAGCTTGCTCAGGCCCATATCCTTCAAGTTGGTGATGGGTGTTGGATTTGGTCAGATGGCTTTTCTGCATCAATTAATGATCATGTGGGTTTTCTCCTCCAACTTCTCTGGTGGCTCAGGGGTAAAGAATCTGCCTGCCAATGCAGGAGACACAGTTTGGATCCCTGGGCCAGGAAGATCCCCTGGAGGAAGAAATGGCAGTCCATTTCAGCATTCTTGCCTGGGAAATTCTTATAACAGAGGAGCCTGGTGGGCTACATGCAAGTCCATGGAGATGCAAAGAGTCAGACACCACTTAGTGACTAAACAACAATTACTGTTACGTGTACTATTAATGTACTATCGGTGTTACATTGATTAAGTTTCTTATGTTGAAGCACCCTTGCATTATTGGGGTAAATCTCACTTGCAATGAGGTATAATCCTTTAAATATGCTGTTGGATTTGGTTTGCTAGTATTTTGTTGAGGGTATTTTCATCATGTGCATAAAGGATATTGGATCATAATTTTCTTGTGATATCTTTATTTGGCTTAGGCGTCAGGTAATACTGGTCTCATAGAAGGAGTTAGGAAGTGTTTTTTCCTCTTCTGTTTTTGGAAGAGTGTGAGAAAAGATTGGTGTTAATTCTTTAAATGTATGGTAGAGTTCACCACTGAAGCCCTTGTTCTTAGACTGTATTAAGGTTCTCCAGAAAAACAAACAAACCAAAAAAAAAAAAGAAAGAAAGAAAAGAAAACAGGGAGATATGAGAAGGGGAGAGAAAGAATTTATTTTAAGGAATTTGCTCACATGATGAGGGAGGCTGGCAAGTCCAAAATCTGCAAGAGAGGCCAGCACACTGGAGACCCAGGGAAGAGGTGCAGTTCAAGTCTACAGACTCTCTGCTGGTAGAATTCTCTCTTTTTTTGAGGAGGTTGGTCATTTTTCTATTAAGGCCTTCAACTAATTGAGGGTAATTACCTTATGGAGGGTAATTTACTCAATGTCTACTGATTTAAAGGATAATCTCACCTAAAAAATATATTCACAGAAACATCTAGAATAATCTTTGACTTAATATCAGGGTAACTTGGACAAGCTAAGTTGACACCTAAATTAATTATCACATAGAGTTTTATACGTTGGAAGTTTTAAATTATAATCACAAAACATAGACATTACTTTGCCGACAAAGGTCCTTCTACTCAGTTCAGTTCAGTTCAGTTGCTCAGTCGTGTCCATGGACTGCAGCACGCCAGGCTTCCCTGTCCATCACCAGCTCCCGGAGCTTGCTCAAACTCATGTCCATCAAGTCAGTGATGCCATCCAACCATCTTGTCCTCTGTCGTCCCCTTCTCCTCCTGCCTTCAATCTTTCCCAGCATCAGGGTCTTTTCAAATGAGTCAGTTTTTTGCATCAGGTGGCCAAACTATTGGACCTTCAGCTTCAGCATAAGTCCTTCCAATGAATATTTAGGACTGATTTCCTTTAGGATGGACTGGTTGGATCTCCTTGCAGTCCTAGGGACTCTCAAGAATCTTCTCCAACACCACAGTTCAAAACCATCAATTCTTCAGTGCTCAGCTTTC